TGGGAAAAAACTTTTTTTTGCTAAGACAATTTTTTTTTAAATAGCTTGTCAACTCTGTTTAGAGAATCAGTCAACATAAAAACTGTTATTCCTTTGATCCTCTTCCTTAGTTTTTCATTTTTTTTCATCCCTAATTCTCTTTATTAGAAATGTATATTTAGTTTTAAAATAAATTTAACTTTCAAAATTAAACAAAATAATTATGAAATGTTTGCCTTGTCTTATTTTTTTATTCCTGTATTTCAATTATTTTGGGATCATAGGATGTATTGTTATCTCATAAGTGCTAGGAATTGTGCTTATATTATTCCCATATTTCAATTCTTTTTTAATCACAGGCTACCTTTTTATCACATAAGTGCTAGGAATTATGCCTATATTATTCCTGTATTTCAATTGTTTTTTGGATCATGGGCTACATTTTTATCTCATAAGTGCTAGGAGTTGTGCCTATACTGTTCCTGTATTTCAATTGTTTTTGAGTCACAGGCTACATTTTTATCTCATAAGAGTTGGAAATTGTGCTTATATTATTCCTGTATTTCAATTGTTTTTGGATCACGGGCTACATTTTTATCTCATAAGTGCTAGGAATTGTGCCTATATTATTCCTGTATTTCAATTGTTTTGGGATCACAGGCTACATTTTTATCTCATTAGTGCTGGGAATTGTGCTAATATTAATAAATAAAATAGTTACGTTATTTTCTTATAAATAAAAATGTGAAATATATAAATGTCTCTATTATAATTATTTATTTATTTTGCAGAAATGTGTTTACCTTTGAATGGAGGTAATTATTTTGTTTTTAACAATTGAAACGATTATTAATAAATGCAATTATAACTGATGCATTACTGTTATGTACAAACATTTACATACACAGTCAGACCTTGATATAAGGTCACCCCGCATATAAGGTCACTCTTCCAAAGTCCCGGCTCACTGAATAGGAATTCCTTGTTCCAAATTATCGGATATATGATCAAGTTTTAAAAATCTTTATCGCTTATAAGGTCATTTTTATCTGAGACGAGGGAAGTTCTTTTCTAACAAAAGTCTATTTAACTTCCTTACGAGACAATTGGAGGCAATTACCCCTCTCGAGTTCTAGGAAAATGTTGCAGCCNCGGGCAATAATGTTTTAGTATTAGAATGATATCTAATCAATCAAAAACAAAATATTTAAAAAAAAATAATTATTGCTATTATAAAAATAAATATAGGAAACTAAAAAAATTTACAGTTATGAAAATATTAATTGCTCTCTCCGCCATTTTGAACTAGAACGTTTCAAGCAAGAAGGGGAAATTCCCGTCATTCATTCATTAAGGTGGGTAGGTGAAGAAGCAAAATTCATTTCCTTCTTACTTGTCATTCAAGTTGAAGGGGGGGAAGTGACAAGTTCTTATTTTCTCTCCTGTCATTGGCTATCAATCAAGCATAAAGGCGTGGCATGCTGATTGGGTTCTCTTTATTTTTTCTTGTGTGACTAAAGGGGATTCCCCCTCCACTTCAACATTTGCTGTGTTTACCCTTTTTCACAGTATTTCTTCTTAACCTGACATGCAAATAAAAAGGTTCCAGGAAATACCTCTTTTACTAGCCAGCTGCATAGGAAAGAAGGGGGAGGGAGGGGTCTCAGTTGTGCTCTTTTGAAAACAAATCTCCCCCTCCCCTTTCCTGCATTCCAGAGGAGGAGCGTCATGGTCTTAGTAGATCTTCTGTTCTCTTTTCTGTTGATTTATGGGTTCAATGCATAGATCTCTAGAAGCTGAGAAGGGGAAAAACCTGTCAAAAAACTTCGTTTTTTTTTTTTTTTTTTTTTTTTAAGGGAGAGGAGAAGATGAAGAAATATTTGTTTATTTTGATTGTTAAAAAGTGTCCGGGAAATCGACCTTCCGGTTTTTGGGCCGTTACACTGTATTATTTTTATTTCTCAGTAGCCTAAGCAATGAAAAAATTATGAAGTGTAAATAGTTTGATCCAGAGTTGCAATTAGTTCACTTTTTTGTGATTGTAAAATTGTCAATATCTTTGCTTGAGGCATTGTGGCTCTGGGGATAAAGCGCTTGCCCTTCAATGAGGTGACGTAGGTTCGATCCCAGCGATACATGGTTGATTTGGTTTCCGCACCTGGCTTGCACCGACCACAGTGCTGACATGAAATATCCCCAATGGTAGGCAGATGATAGGTTAGAGTCTCCTAGCCGTCAGGCTAATCATGGGAGGTTTTCATAGTTTTCCTCTTCATGTAATGCATATGCGTGTTAGTTGTATCAAAAAGTCCTCCACAAAGGCAAATTTCTCCCAATAAATGATCCAGGAGCTTCCTTGTTTTCTGGATTAGGTTCAAAATTACAGATATAAAGTGCTCGCACCGACCACAGTGCTGACGTAAAATATCCTCAGCGATAAGCAGATCATAAGTTAGTCCCTTTGCTGTCAGGCTAACTGTGGGAGGTAGATCTTTGTGGTTTTCCTTTCCATGTAACGCAAATACGGGTTAGTTCCATCCAAAAAGTCCTCCATGAAGGCAAATTTCTCCCAATACTTGATCCAGGAGTTCCCCTGTCTTCTGGTCTAGGTCCAAAATTACAGGGCTACGGAGTTGAACGTTAGTAGCCATAAACCATAAATTGGGTCGGCTGTTCTACGACGGTTTTAAAATAAAATGTCTTTGCTTCAATAAAGTAGAAATCTTACAATTGAACTTCAAGAAGTAACATGCTTGTTTTTCAAAACTCTTTTTTGCATTTATCAAATAGAAGTGTTTTTAGCTTTTTTATTGCATTAAAGTATATTTTAATATTCTTGATCAAGTCTCAAATATATTATTTCTTGTAATTTGCATTTCTGCAGTAGGTCCCAAAGCTTTTAGCTGAGGTAAATACTGCACAAAAATCTATTTTCAATTTGTAGCACATTTCTTTTTTTTTATCTGCACGATCTGAACCATCTTTAAATTAATCTGCAACATCAGTATTAATGATATGTAAATACGTGTCAAGGCTATCTCAAAATGTTTTAAAGAACAAATGAAGAAATTTCTAAATTGCACCTTAAAGATAATTGGCATTAAATCCTGCTTTTTATAATAGTTTCCTTATATTTATAAGCAGCAAAGCTTCAACAATAAATTTTGAAATTTAATAATTCTAACTTATCTCAAAAATTCTAAAAATTTTACAGTATTATATTTATTGATATAGTTGCTAGTAAAATATCTCAATTACTATATTGCCGATGCTAAAGGTGTATTTTAATGTATAAGTTAATTTTATGTATTCGTTAGTTTTAATATTTTTTTCTATTTATTCTACAAAATAAATTTCTATGATTTTTAATGCAATTTAATATTGAATGCGCAAGTAATTTTCAAAGGAAAATTGGCACTTTATTGGACAAAACTGATTAAGAAAAAATTACTCAATGTTCATATGAAATTACAACTTTTACAAAACTACAAGATAATTCCTTTTATTTTCTAAACTATTTTGCCCTGTTTTTTTAAGCATGCAAATTCTCCAATAACGAAGCAACTGGTCTTTAGAATCGGCCCAAGAATGAAACCATTTATAGCATTTCGTGAGAAAACTGTATTGCACACGCCGTTAATCATAATTGATTAACAGAGTATCTAAGATTTAAATCGAATTTTTGCTATAAGTTATTTAAATCAGTGCTAAAAGAAAACACAAATATTTTTAATTCTAAATAGATAAAACTTCTTTGAAAAAAACGTGCTAAAAAGCAGCAGAAATTTCAAAAAAAAGTAGCAATAAAGGAAACGAAGGAAATAAAAATATGACCACCGAAGCCGACGTCTTCAGGGGGTTCCAGCCCTGGTAGCCATAAAACAAAACCATTTCTAATTGAGGGAGAAGCAAATGCCTAAATTAACTCCCTCAGTACTTCGATGGTTTTGTATAGAAGTCCAGGAAAAAACATGAAATACAAATAACAAATTTAGAAAAGAAACTCAAACAAAATCATCAGAAAAATAAAAACTCAGAAAAATAAAAACTCACTTAACCAGGTCAAACATCGATTTCACAAGCAAGCCGAATGAAACGGAGGCACTAAAAACTAAAGGAAACAAAAGAAAACAATGCCCTCTATAGCATTTCATGAGAAAACTGTATTGCACACGCTGTTAATCATAATTGATTAACAGAGTATCTAAGATTTAAATCAAATTATTGCAATAAGTTATTTAAATCAGGATTTTAATCACATGATTATTTTTTAACAGAAATTACTGATTTATAGTATTCAGGCAAAGTAGTACTTATTAAAATAATTTCAGATTTTTAAAGAAATTTTTAGCAAAAATAATCCTGTGATTTTTTTTTTACACTAATACTTGAGCCACGATGACTCAGAGAATAGAGCGTTTGCATCACAATGATGTGGCTCAGGTTCTGATCCTAGAGATGGCTGGTTTATATGAATTCTAGTAGTGACTAGCACCAACTACAGTGCTGGTATTAAATATTCTCACTGGTAGACGGATTGTGCAAGCTGTGGTAAACCCTTTGTTGTTAGACTGATGTTAGGCCATGTAGTTCAAATGTAGGTTGTTCAAATGTATGTTCATCAAAAAACCCTCCACAACAACAGGTTTGCCCTCATACATGATCCAGGAGTAAATTTGTCTTCTGGGCTAGGCTTAAAATTACAAGGTTGCAGTGTTGAACTTTGATGCCTGTAAACCAAAAAATGGTTAGACTGCTTAATGGGACTGTAAAGTTAAATAAAAGATGACAAGGAACGAGAGATGTTAGATGCTAAGTAATGATAAAAATGTAAGATGGAAAAGATGTTAAGGAAGTAATTGCTGTGGTCTGATTCAATTTAATTATTTTTTTTAGCTTACTTGTACACACAGTAACTCTTTTTTATATATTGCATAGCCTTTTCTAAACTATAAAAATGTTTCAATATTTATAAATGTAAACCTACTAAAATTTAATATTTATTTACTTTTTACATTTAGGACTATGAAGACTATAACCCAGTGTTTTGCATCGGTGCTGAAGAAATGTGGAAGAACATTTATTAAACAATTTCTTAAAATTGTTGAATATATTGCAAATCTCTCTCAAATGAACATAGATTCTGAATCTGACTATTTAAATATTATTGCAACACATTCCAGTTATACTGTGTCACAAGAGGAAATAAATGTCTGTGATAGTGTTATTGGTGGGTTAATATTTTTAAATTTGGTTAAAAATTAAAGGTTAAAAGTTAAGTTGTACTGTGACATCATAATATACTGAGTCCTGTTTTTAAAAAACAAACCTTCAATCAAAATAATTCTCAATTCATTTTCATGAGAAATTCCATTTTGGAGTTCATTTTAAACGTGTAGAACATATAAATGAAAGTAATTCATTTTTTCCTTATTGTATCTCTTTTATCTTTCTTTTTTTTATATTTTTGCTTTATTATATTCCTTATTTTAATCATATTTTTTATCATCTGTGGGCTGTGCTAACTTAGTGGTTAGAGAGTCAGACTCCAGTCTGGGAGGTCAAGGTTCAATCCTCAACTTCCTTAAGACCCACTAAATGCATGCAATATAATCTGTGGAATTGAAAGTATTGTGGTCAGTCATTGAGCTGTACAATGGGTACAGGGATCTGGAGAAAATTCCCTTCCTCTTTAGATCTATGTCTAAATTGAGGAAGTGTCCTCATGATTGAGTGGTACTGCCATCTATCCATGGGGTTCTGAGCCAAGACGTACCTTCGCCTTTGCGGTGCTCTTTTATCAAACTTAAAGTGCACCTTCCTGACTTAATTTGCTAGGCCAATTGAATGGTGAGCTTGGCTTTTCAAAGTGTTATTAGAAACAATATTTTCGTCTGTTACTTATTATTAATTAATAAAATGTAAAATTCGTGTATTTGGAAGACTTAATTCATAAGTTGTAGATTGTATACTTCTTTAGTTTGGATAACATTGCTATTTTTTGTTGAAAAAAATTATGTTTGTGATTGTTTGTTTTATAATAACGTTTTAACTTCTTATTAAATTTAAATAGTAAATATTTTTGTACTTTCGTTCATTTATAATCCTTGGCATGCTCCTGCTATGATAGCCTGTAGAAGAACCAATATATCGTACAAAAAAGCATTTAAGTTAAACTCTGAATTTATTTCTGGGTTAACAGGCATAGTGATAAAAAATTTTATAATTAATTTTGTTTATTTATTGTTTAATGTACTTTGAAATTATAATAATGCATTTTTAAAAAAAATTTATTTATTCTCAAAACAATATGTTATTTTTTTGACAGCTGAAGTAGCGAGTGATTATGAAGGAAGTTCTGAAGGTGAGAATAATGTTAATTTTTTTTATTAAATATTTTATTTGTATAGGAATGTTTACTATATGAATTAAATTTTTCGCAACTGTTTTTTTAATCATATAATTTCCATGGTGTTTTTTTTTTTATTTTTATGCAGTTTTTACTTTTTTTTAATGTATGTTGACATGTACAACTTTTATTTTGATGCATTGATACCTTAAAATTATATTATTTTCATTTAATTATTTTATTATTTAACATATTAATTGTAATACTTAAGCACAGCGCTTAAAATTGAATATGTTATTAAAATATAACCAAACTCTGATTTTCTGATACCCAGAGAACCATTTGTGTATCAGAAAAAATTCCTATAAGCACAATTTGTATAATATAAACACAATTTGTCCTTAACTTTAGTTTAAAGTTTCTTGTGTACTGAATCTTGCATCACATTTAAGCTAATTTTTTTTTAAAATAAAAATTAAATAGTTGTAAGTAATATTTGAAAAACTTATTTCTTGTTATACAATGTTTAGAAGTCACAAAGATTTCATCACATTTATTTAAATTTTAAAAATAAAAATTCTATTTTTTTTTATTATTATTATTCTGAAAGCTTTTATGCATCAGAACATCATATGAATAGTTGGTCACTTTTATATTTTGTATCGTTTTGGCTAATGTTGATAGTTCTTATTGAAAAAAGTGGATGTTTTTTATAATATTAATTTATTATAGCACAAAAGAATAGTAATCGACAAAATTCTAAACAAACATTCATTTTAAGAACAAATATCTGATTCAGTTACAAATATCTGATTCAGTTTGATTATTTTGTTTGGGAAAAAACTTTTTTTTGCTAAGACAATTTTTTTTTAAATAGCTTGTCAACTCTGTTTAGAAAATCAGTCAACATAAAAACTGTTATTCCTTTGATCCTCTTCCTTAGTTTTTCATTTTTTTTCATCCCTAATTCTCTTTATTAGAAATGTATATTTAGTTTTAAAATAAATTTAACTTTCAAAATTAAACAAAATAATTATGAAATGTTGGCCTTGTCTTATTTTTTTATTCCCGTATTTCAATTATTTTGGGATCATAGAATGTATTGTTATCTCATAAGTGCTAGGAATTGTGCCTATATTATTCCCATATTTCAATTCTTTTTGAATCACAGGCTACCTTTTTATCTCATTAGTGCTAGGAATTATGCCTATATTATTCCTGTATTTCAATTGTTTTTGGATCATGGGCTACATTTTTATCTCATAAGTGCTAGGAGTTGTGCCTATACTGTTCCTGTATTTCAATTGTTTTTGAGTCACAGGCTACATTTTTATCTCATAAGAGTTGGGAATTGTGCCTATATTATTCCTGTATTTCAATTGTTTTGGGGTCACAGGCTACATTTTTATCTCATTAGTGCTGGGAATCGTGCTAATATTAATAAATAAAATAGTTACGTTATTTTCTTATAAATAAAAATGTGAAATATATAAATGTCTCTATTATAATTATTTATTTATTTTGCAGAAATGTGTTTACCTTTGAATGGAGGTAATTATTTTGTTTTTAACAATTGAAACGATTATTAATAAATGCAATTCTAACTGATGCATTACTGTTATGTACAAGCATTTACATATATATACACAGTCAGACCTCGATATAAGGTCACCCCACATAAAGGTCACTTTTCCAAAGTCCCGGCTCACTGAATAGGAATTCTTTGTTCCAAATTATCGGATATATGATCAAGTTTTATAAATCTTTATCGCTTTTAAGGTCATTTTTATCTGAGGCGAGGGAAGTTCTTTTCTAACAAAAGTCTATTTAACTTCCTTACGAGACAATTGGAGGCAATTACCCCTCTCGAGTTCTAGGAAAATGTTGCAGCCAATGAACAAGCTACAATTTCTGATATTGTTTCACAAGTTGTGGGCAGTGAGGACATTGACAGTGATCCTGAGACTGTAGCTGTAACCCAAGCCTTCAATGCAATAAATGTCATACAAAATTTTTTTACAAATTATGAGGGAGCTGAGGAACATTTTCTAGAAAACATAGTTCGAAAAATGAAACCAAAAACGAGACATACCTGCATAAATAATTATTTTAAATAAGGTAAGATGTACATTTGAGGAAATTTGTGAACAGCTTTATTTTAAATTAAATTTTTTGTTAAAAAATCTAACTTTCTTTAATTCTTGACTAATTCTGTTAAAATTTATTGACTTAAACATTTAATTTATGACCAAACGTTTTCGTTTGTATTACCATTTTTAAAAAGTCGTAATGTGTACTATTTAACTTGCTTAGCCCCGTTTATAAGGTCACTTTTGCTATGTCCCTTAGGGTGACCTTATATCGAGGTCTGACTGTGTATATATGTATATATATATATATATATATGCCCATATTTACCGTCATATTCTTTTAGGTGAAAGACCGTCTAATCTGTTCGTTCTAATGAAAAACTGCAGGCGTTCTGAAATTGAAAAATGGATTAAAAGAATTTCTCGTTGTGTCTCTAAAGCAGCAGAAGCAGCTGGATTAAAAAATCCAAAACTTCTTCATTTGACAAAGTAAGTAAGCAGTGGATAAAAGTATTAAATTTTCATTTAAACTTTCATTTTTGAAATTTTCTTTTGATTTCTTAGGATTGTAAAATTTCTGCTCCAGTGTGTCAAACATAAAGAAAATCACCTGATTTGCCGTCCGAAGACTCTAGGCCTTTTTAAATATGCTTTGACTTCTCTATTCTCAACTGTAAAAAAAATAACTTGTAAGTATTATTTTGAATACCTCCATTCTCTATTTTTAAAAAAATGAATTGAAAGATAATTTTTGTAACATTGTTCTAAAGTCAAGCTTTTGCTGCTTTCGATTTTTATCATAAGTTAGATTTCGGGTTGCTTAGCAACAAAAGCTGAAAATCTGGCATATGATTCTTGTATTCAGTCCACCGGAATCTTAGAGAAATAATAAAGTTAGAATCATCATCATAGTTAGCCAGACAGTCCAATGTGGGCCAATGCCTTCCTCTGAAGATTTCTCTTTTACCCCTTAACGGTCGCTAAATTTTCAAGAAAACGGTCATAAAAATGCCTCTTTTTTATACATGTATTTGATTAGTGCTGACATCTAGTTTAAAATAAACTATCTACAATTACCTTAAAAATATCCTGGTACTACTATCTGGTGTGTAAAATGAGAAATAAAATGTATTCCGGGAAAAAGAAATGAATTAGTTTTATTCTTATTGATGCATTACTACTGAACACTTCAGCCTGGGAATATCACGGGAGCGAGAAGAAAGGGGTTAATGACCTACGATTTATCTTTGATCTCCAATTCTTTTCATTAATTGCGAGAAAATCAGATTCCACCAAATCAACCCATCTCAACCGCGGCCTTCCCCGCTTTCTTGTTCCAGTTGGTCTGATCACATGGGCCATCCAATTTATTTTTATGTATTTAATAATGTCAGGTTGTTTATAAATCTTGTACAGTTCAAAGCTAAATCTCCTTCTCCAGTTATTGTTTTCATTTACACCACCAAGTATACTCCGCAAAATCTTTCTTTCAATTATTGTGATACAATTTTCTTCCAATTTTGTCCAAGCTTCAAAAGTGTATGTCAAGACTGGCCTGACAAGAGTTTTATAAATTGAGAACTTTGTTTTTCCAGAAAATCTGTCATATGATTCCTGTATTCAGTCCACCTAAATCTTAGAGAAATAATGAGGTTAGAATAAACTAATTGAAATTGTTAAATTGTTTTTCTCAGACAATCAAAAAAAATCAAATAGTTTAAAAAATCAAATATAGTTTGAAACCATTTGATGGTAGCATTATTTTCCCAACTTTGACATCAAAGTGGTAGAAGCACAGTTTTTATATTTGATAAATATATTCCTTATAACAAATTGTTGTATGCTTAAAACAATATTTTTACTTAAAAGTTCTGAGCAATCGAAGTGCTCCTACACCTCCTGTTTCTTGAACCACATTAGCTATAATGTTTAACAATTGAATTTTACCTGACAGGAAATTACATCTTTTAAACACTTTTTTATGACAGATATTAACTTAGTTTTTAATTAAAACTTTTGAACTTATTTTATATGTTTCTAATAATACTATGAACATTTTATTTTGTTACATCTTTTAAATGAGTTCTTTTTTTTTACAATAATCAAGTTTAAAGATTTTATTTTTCCATTATAACATTTTATAACTTATTTGTGCATTTCAGTGATAATCTTTTAAATGTTTCTTTTAGATACTTCTCACAGAGATGGATGCTTCGAACAGTTTGCATCAGCTCGTTTCAATAAATGTTATCCAAAGCTATATCGACATCTTGTGATCTTATTTCCAGGATCTAAAACCAAAGAGTAAGTCACAAAAATATTTATCATTTTTTCATATATATCATCCATCCACTATCTTAAAATCCACAATTGTATGAAATCTAGTCTGATTTTACGATGTAAACATTTAACTTGTGGTTAAAGTTAAATTCTCAAAAATAATTTAATGCTTAAAAATGTACATTTTTTGTGTACAAAAATTGCAGTACATTTTCAATTATTTTATTTTTAATAAATAGAAATCACATTTTTATAGGCTTAAGCACTTTGTAAATGATCCCATCTGTCTGACTTTTTCCATTCTTCGTAAGATCTGTAATATATTCGAAAAGAGTTGAAAAAATGTAAAATACAAATATCAGGTATATTTAATTTTATTAGCTCTGTTTAATGTAATGTGTTACTATTAGTTATAAAAAATGCTCAGTATTAGATATGGAATCAAAGATTTTAAATTATTAGATATGGAATCTAAGATTTACAAAATTTTAAAATCCACTAAGCTTCTGGTGCCAGCTATGTGGAGAGTCTACTCTATAAATATGTGTGCACTTTTTTACATATTAATTAACAATAACTCAAACGTATGAAAAGCGATTAAATTAAAAGAATTGAATTTAAAATGAGAGATATAAAGTGAAACTTAGAAAAGTAGACTGGTATTTTTTTCCTGGGTTCACTTTGTCACCAATGAATGTAATATAAATGTATTTCAAGGTAACTGAACTATAATATAGAGAAACAATAAGATTGAGAGAACCAAAAAAATTCAGATATTGTAAGTGAATAAAAACAAAAATATTAAAAAAAAAGGAACCTTACCCATTTAAAATGCTTGCCCCTTAAAATGAATGCCCTCATTTGCACCAGTGTTAGTAAAAATGAGTGCAAACTGGTTTCAGGATAAGATTTTTTTTCTCTCTTTTCCACATGATTTTTTTTTATATATTTTGCTTTTGTTATACTGAAATGCTTCAAAAAGCACCTGCTGAAAAATGAGGGACTAATTAATATTTTCTTATTTTTTATCATACTTTTTTATCACTGTGTTTATTGTTGGCTTTTAATTAACAATTTTTTTTCTATTTATTATTTTACCTTTATTGCTTGCCAACTCTACTGAATTTGCCAGTAGACTACTGGATTTTTCCAGTTTCTCCTAGTCTTCAGGCTTAATGAAAATTCTCCTTGTTTTTGTGCATTATAAAAAATTCCCTGAAATTGACTAAGTTTCCTAAAAAAACATCCTTATTTTAATAGAATTTTTTCACTATTTATTGCTTGCTTGAGTATTTAAATAAGTAGTATTACTAATATGTAATGAAGCAAGCCTCATTTATAGTAATCAGTTTTCTTTCCTTTTTTTTTGTTCTAAAATTTTTAGTTTATTTTGATTCAGAACTCTCTTTTCGAAATGATTAAAAACTCTTAACTATCAATGGTAAATTAAATGTCTATTACTATTCAAAATTATAAGTTAACATAATAAAAAAATTCATTTAATATTAATCATAAATGAAAAATATTGCAAACCATTCATAGTTGTTAGTGTAAATAAAGACTATAAAATTCCCTACATGTAAAATATTTAGTATATTATACAACAAGTATCATGAAATATATATTATTTCATAAAATATACTGGATATTTTCCTATCCATGATGGCTGCTATGCATTTATTAAAGTATTGTATTTATAGCACTGAAGAGAATAGCGTATTTGTAGCATTTTTTTCTATTACTATATATACGCATAATTTTTATAAAAATGCAACTTCTGCAATAATAAAATTAAGTCTCCAGCTTTACAAAACTACTCTTTTTTATGTATTTTCTCAAAGACATTTAATTTTAGCTCTAAACAAAAAGCGTGGTCTTGCTTATCATCATCCTTAAAACAGTGTCCCAAAGAGGCTGTGGAACTCCTGTTTGAAATCTTATACACTGCTATTGCACAAAACGATGAACAGTACAATGATTACAGTACTCACGACGGACTGATGACTTGCGAGCCAGGTAAATCTGTGTTTTATGTCTTTTTTTTCTTGTTTTTCCTACAAAAATCAACTGTAGAGATTGTTGTGAAAATATATACAAAAATTTTTCTCTCAAATATTATTATTCTACTGAAAAGCGAATTTCCAAGAGAGAAAGTAACCAGATTTTTCTCTTAACTCAATTTATTCATAAATGTATAATTTTTTTAAGATATTTTGCAGTAAGAAAACATTTAAAATTCGATTTCTTTGGAGCTATTCAATTGGTTTTGTTCACACATTGAATTTTGCTGTATATAATGGCCTTTTTTAAAATGATGTAAAACTTTGTATGCCTTACAATTCAAAATGATGTAAAACTTTGTATGCCTTACAATTCAAAATGTTTTAAACTATTATTAAATAAAATAATAAATTACTATTAAAATTAATTTATTTTGCCTGAAATTATCTTTCGACTAACAAATGTTATATATATATATGTGTGTGTTCAACAATTGTTTTGTTAAATTAATGAGTCAAAACTTTTAACTGCACTTCCGACTTAACTTTTGGAATTATATATCCCTGATTGCAGCTATTCCACATATTTCAAGGGGCAATAATTCGAATTCAGGTACGTTTTTTAAAAGAAAGTACTTTTTTTGTTTTGTGTTAGATTCCGTAACTTAAAATCGTGCCTGCCCCTACAATTTATAATTTTTTTTTTATAATTTATTATATATTATTAATTTATAATTTAATAATTATAAATTAATTAATTAAATTATTAATTTAAAATTTAATATGTTAATAATTTAATGTTGTTGTTGACGTATGTCTGTTTAGGCAGGGGGGGTGCGATTTAATAATTAGCATATAAGAGGTCACCCCTGTTCAAGTAAAATATAATCCTTGTACATGAAAATCTGATCATTAGATCAAAAGTTATTCAGGTTGTTCCTTTTTTACACACAGTACATTTGAAAGAAGTATAGAATTATATTTATGTAAAATATCTCATTACAACTTTTTTTTCTTTTTACCGCTCAGTCATCAATCCTAATTTTTGTTTTTAGATGATGCTTGGGCGAATTGTGATGAACAAGTTAGCCAAAACAATGAAGTCAGTTCTGAATATATGGATGAAGACAGTGGGAATGAAATGCTCTCGAATGAATATGAATCTGATGACTATGAAATGGATGTGTTGAATCTAAAGTTCGACGATTCTGCTTTGCATGAAACACAAGGTGAGCAGCGGCAAAACAGGGTGTAAACTTCTTAAGCAAAAACATTGAATCAAAACTAAGCATTAAACTGCCTTCNGGATGAAGACAGTGGGAATGAAATGCTCTCGAATGAATATGAATCTGATGACTATGAAATGAATGTGTTGAATCTAAAGTTCGACGATTCTGCTTTGCATGAAACACAAGGTGAGCAGCGGCAAAACAGGGTGTAAAATAAAAAATTATTAATTAAATAATTAATTTGTAAAACTTAAGCAAAAACATTGAATCAAAACTAAGCATGTTTCACTTATAGTGTTTTTGATATATTATTACCCATTTATCCGGATACTGATTAACCCAGTTATCCAATTAGCCAGATTATTCTAGGAAGATGCGCTTTTTAAACTGCCTTCTCTAAAAAACATTTTCATAAAGCTTTCTTCTAATATTCAGATTTTCTGAAGGGGTTGCCAAGAAATGCTTATTTTGTCTCTTACATGTATAGTGTATGAATATGTAATAACTTCTATTTATAATATTATAACAACTTGGTATAAAATAAATAAGTTTCAAGATGTAAACTGTAGTGTTCTCCCTAAGCGTTTTTATAAAAGTGCTCTTTTTGTAAAAATAAGACTCCGTCCCTTAAAAGCACCACCTTTTTATTCAATTCTGTTAGAAGAAATAACTCATTGTTTAAATAATAACTATGCACTGCCATATTTATCTATTATTCTGATTACTACGAATATTTGTTTTGTTTATAAATTTTTACAAGTTTCTCTTTTTTTTCTGGGGTGTATTGATGAATATTTTAAGGGATTTAAAAAAAAAAAAATGAGGATTTTTTGTTTAAAAAATGCATCTTTTGTTCATTTTGTCAACATTTTTAGTTTTAATTATAGAAAAAGCTTTCAAGTTGTTTTAGTTTACTTTTTTTAAAAAAAAAAAGTTATACTCAGAGAGTATCTTTTAGTTTAACCTCCATGACCTCAAGCCCCACAAAAGGCTGTAGTGAGAACAAGTAGAAAATATTCAAACACAATACAATAACATATTCAAAAGTAGGCCTATATATCTGAAATATTTCCTAATCGCTATGTGTTTTTGTATTTATTGAAATTAAATTGTGTAATTTATAGCTGAAGATATTAATAATAGTTTGTTGGTATAATTTATGCTTCATGAAATAATGTTTTTTTTAAAGCTGTCCATCCCATTGCAAAAGTTTGTTCAAAAGCTGACTATCAACTCTATTTTGAAAATTTGATGGAATGTCAAAATATTAAAATGTCTCTTATACTTAACAGAGATGTAAATGAATGTTCAATTAACATAATAGAAAAGTGAGTATTTTAATAAATATTTTAACTACTAAAATTTAACAGAGGCCATTCACCATTTGTACATTCGTAATGTGAATATATTAAGGTTTTGTTAATTTAATTCTCTACGAGTCTTTATCACTTTAATATGATCAATAATATTAAATCTTGTACATGTTTTTGTTGAGTGTATATTTATAAATAATTTTTATTTGAATCAGCCATATAATTTTTATTTAAGTATAAAAATTTAGCCTTGAATTAAAATAAATTTTTTTGCATAATTGAGTAAAGTAATTACTAATTTTTTTTTAAAAAATAGAATGAGCAACTCTATATTGAATTTATTTCAAATAGTGCATAAAATGCTTTTGCAGTGGTTAATGAAAAAAAGAATAGAGTTTATTAAAAAGGAGACTTCTTTTAAATAATAGCTTATATTTATAAAATAACTTATTTTATCATGATGATGGGAAGTGTGTGTGTATATAAATATATATATATCAAACAATAGGAAGAAAAAATATTTACTAAAGCTTAAATGTGTTTTTTTTTAAGTGCTTAAAATATTTTTGGCTGCTTATTTTCTGTTGAAAATTTAGGTAAGCACCCTGACAGGGAAACAATTACTTTATATTCTATTGTATAAATCTATTTTTAGAACCTCAAAATTTAACAAAAATCAGGGAGGTGACTTAAACAATAATTAATTTGTTGATCATGAAATATCGATGCAAGAAAAATTCTGTATCAATTTACCTCTTTCAAAAACTAATTTACCTTCACTGGTCTGAATAAATGGTAGAAAATTCTCTAATGTATCTACTTGACATATCCAGCTATTATATTTCCCAAAAATCTAACATTCAAAATATATTGTAATGTTTGCTGTAAAAATTATTAACAATAATGGCAATTGCCAGCAAATTCTCTAATATATCATTAAAAATTACTTAAAACTGTTTTATATACAGATCTCTTGAGGCAGTAACTGTTTGTGTATTAGAAGAGAATGCTAGAATTCCTTGCATTTTTAATGAAGAGTGGCAAGTGAAGGATTTCCTAAAAGATTTAAGTTGGTTACTAAAAAGTAATTTACGATTTAGAAGAATGCATTGTAAGTATAGATTTTTTAGCATTGTTTTTATAGTTTTAGCTTTGTTTGAATTATTATTGCATGAATGAAGAAGAGAGAATTGTTTCAAAATGTTATTATGATTAAATATATGAAGAATGTATAATACTTATTTCACATTAAGTCGGAAAAAGTGAGTGATAGTTTATTTTAAATTAGTGTCTCATAAGTAACCTTTAAGTTCTTATTAAAAATTAGCATTAAAATTTTATAACGTATAAAATAGACACTTTTTTGAAATTCTGGCATTTTTGCAAATAATATCAATTGTCAAGTTAGTGTCCTTTATTTCAGTTAATGATATAGTATATAGTTTTATATAGTATGTAGTTTTTTTTCCTAAATTTAGGAACATTTTGAGTCTTTGAAATCTTTATTTATTTATCTTTTCAAATAATGAGACATGTTTAAAATTTGCAAAGTTTTTGTCCTTTACTATTCCTATTCTATTTAGGTAATATATATATATGTATGCATGTATGTATGTATGCATGCATGCATGCATGCATGCATAAGGGCATGCATTTTTATATTTGCTCGATACAATGAGCACTATTTAACCAGTGCAAAATTTATCCTTATGAATATAGTTATGTTTAGTTAGAAATGCAAATGTAACGCATTCGTTGTTTTTGCATTCATAGTTGAAAACTCTAGTATAAAGATTTTAAATCTAGATTGAACCTAATTTGTTTTTCGTTAATGACAAATAATTGAGAGAAATTTTATTAAATTACCATTAATGCATATCATTTAATAGTTGTTATGAAGAAAATAGTTTAAAAATGGTTTTCTTATAGGCCCTAATGATATGCCTTGTTATGGTGCTTCAGCAAGAAATATTTCAAAATGTTCAGATTACGTATTCAGCCTCTACAAAGAATCCATGAATTCCTTGAGCTACCAAAGGTATTTCCATTTAAAAAAATTTCTATAAATTTATTAAGACTGATATTGTAATTGGTTTGAGTTATTTTTAAAGCTGTGGAATCAATGTTAAATTATAAAATGAGTAGTCTCGAGAATCTGAAGCGAAAAAATTTACTTGATTATTAAATAACTTCATTAGCTTAAAAAATTTAGGTGGAAAAATTCGCTAAAGAAATGTAGATTTTTTTCCACCTAATGAAGTTTTTCTATTATTAAGTAATGACTATTTATTTCTATTATTTAGTATACTAAGATTAATCAAATATTAGTCTCTCATTCGGCTCATGACATTACTCTTCTTTTTCTAAACATAACATGCTTTTCTGATGAACAGTACATAAAAAAAACTTGTTATTTAATTTGCACCAATGTTTCCTTTTTTATTAATTTCATCAAAATATATTTTTTTTTGTATTTCTTGTTATTGCAATGTTTAAATAATATAGTTATAATCATTAAAAATAATTTCTGTTTTTTTTTTAAATTATTTTTTAATTATTCTCTCCAGGGAAAAGTATAATAAAAGCTTTTTGCCTGATGAGACAGTTATTACTTTTAAAAAAATGCTAATTTTATTTAAAAACATAAATAACTTTTATTTTACTATGATGTCTGTAACTGTTGGGTGATAGTCATTTTATTATATACTAATTCATTATATTTTACACTTATCATATTTCAGAGGGTTTGAAGTGATAAATTCCTGTGTTAACCAAATATGGCCAAATTGTTCCTCTTCATTTTCACTTTCTGCCTTGCCAATTATATATATTCCCCTTGGCATTAATTTGTCAGACTACCTCAAAGAAAGTGAGTAATGTTTTAAAATCATACCATAAGTAAAATATTGTTTTAATTGTTTATCAAGTTAAGATTTTAAATTTAAAAAAAACTAGAGGATAAACTGATGTATGTTAACAATAATATGGATGATATACCATATAAAGCTTAACAACGGTGACATTTGCGGCAAAAAAAATACAAAGAACCTTCCGCACCAAAACTTAAAGTATAGACCATCGTTAAAATTTGCAACAAAAGTTGTATTTATCCGTTACGGATTTATTCCTTTACAGGCTTATGTTCTTCTGACTTTTTTAATATTTAGAATGATATTTAGTTGGGAACAAAATCAGAGCCGTGGTGGCTCAGGGGATAGAGCTTTAACCTTCCAATGAGGTGAACCGAGTTCGATCCTGGCGATGGCTTGCTGATACGAATTTCGTATCCGGCTTGTACTGACTACAATGCTGATGTGAAATATCCTCAGTGGTAGACGGATCATGGGTTAAAGTCCCCTTACTGTCAGGCTAACCGTAGGATGTTTTCGTGGTCTTCGTCTCCATGTAACGTAAATGCATGCTGGTTCCATCAAAAAGTCCTCCACGAAGGCAAATTTCTCCCAATATTCGATCCAGGAATATCCTTGTCTTCTGGATTGGGTTCAAAATTACAAGGCTATGGAGTTAAACATTAGTAGTTGTAAACTCGAAAATTCGGTCAGCTATTCAACGGCGGTTATAAAAAAATATCAAAAATTAGATAGTAATCAAAAGATAGCAACTCAGTGTTTTTTTGTTTTTTTTTTCATTATTTGACTCTCAATTCAGATTAGGTTTTGCAATCTTAAAATTGGAAAAACCATATGAATTGTGCTATTAAATGAAAAATTAAATCCTCCTCTTCCTAATAATTTTTTCTTGGTTATTAGCAGAGAGATACACTGAATGTTTTCAATAGTCTGTCTTGGTTTTAAGAAGCTTGTTGTTTACACTCAGTTAATCATCCATAAACAATAAATATTTTTAAATATAACAGTTTATTAATGAATATTTTATATATTTTTCACTCTTCATGCATTTAGCTGGAAATCAGACTTGTTTTTCTGCCAAGATTGGTGCAAGTATGCTATCATTTTTATTCTCTGTCAATTCAATTTCTTATTCTCACAAATTATTCCTACTTATCCGATTGTTCTTTTCCCAATAGCAACATCCGCAGTGTGTAATGTAAAGCACAGAAAACTGGCAACTGAAATAATTAACGATTGTTTAGATAGAGTTGTGACCAAACTCATGGATCTCTTAGCGCAAATGAAAATACCTTTGGATGAAATTCATTGGCATGTACTTGTTCAGCATTTTTCAAAAACAAATAATAATTTATATGGATGCTAACTTTAACTTGATCATATTTTAATTCAACTCATTACTAACAAAATTTAAAACTATAGAAAAACCAAAATTCACCTTATTTCAAAATAGTTTATTTTCTGTTTGGGAATGATAAATTAATTATATTAGTTTTTTGTAATTTGAAGATATCTCTTTGTATGATAAAGATTTTTGTGGATGATAAATTATTTATCGTATGGGGGTTAAAGAGACTTTTCCTTCCTAAAGTTGTGTTTTGTATCTCAACTCCCATAAAAGATAAAAAATTAAAGAACATATTTTCTAAGCATTGTTTCTTTATTGAATACCGTTAAGAAAAATATATGCTTGATGAGAGAAAAATAAACCAATATATCCGTCTAAAAAAGTGCTCAAACTACAAAATTAAATAAATTGAAAACTTTATTTGGAAATTTTAGCAGTTTTATAAAAGTGCATTTTCCTAAATTGATTACGGATATCCTCTAAAATGAAATAAAAATAAGGTACAACTTTTTTATTACTAATACAATGGAGATAGAATCAAACAAATCAGAGAGGAAAAAAATATTTTTAAAAAAACGACCAGTATTTTTTCTGACCAGTATTTTTATTTCTGTCTCTTTAACAGTAATTAGCATCTGAGTAACATGTTAATTCCAAACAGATATGGATAAACAATTTTTTTTTAAAAATTGAAATTTCCTTTTGTAAAAAATTAAGATGTCTTGTTCTAATGTTTACATTTTCTTTTATCCATGTAGGACTGTAGATCCATTGTCCATATGTGTTACAACTCACCAAATTTTAGAATGCCAAGAGAAAGATTTGTCTACTTTTAAATTCTTCATGAATAATTTATTTAATGTTATAAAAAGACATCTTGAAAAGTATTTGCATATTTTTAAAAGTAAGTATAATGTTCTATCCATTCAGTTTTAATAATATCTTTTTAAGAATTCTGATATTTAAAATAATGTTTGCTGTGGTAATTATATATTTGGACTTGGTCAGTTTTTAAAATATGATTTTGGGATTCTTATCAACCATACATTAACAATACAATACATTAACCTAACAATGCATTAACAATAACTTTTTATATTCAAAAGATTATCAAGATGCAATGTACCAGCATACAAAATTTCAGGGTTGCCACAGGCGACTTCAGCATGAGCCTTTTTTTGCCTGAAAAGACTAAAAAAGCAACTATTTTCTGGAAAAGGAGACTATTAGGAGACTTTTCTGTACTCCCAGCAATGTTTTTTTAGCATAATTAGATTGTAAACCTGCAGTCCGCGAAATCTTGTGAAGACACTGAATTTCCTTTCTTAGGAAATGTAAAATTAAAATAATAAAATTTAAAAAAATTAAATAAATAATTAAAACATTAAAAAATGAAAAGTTTTAGATTGCAAATTTGAGCCATCACTTTTTAATGCGTTCAATTTGCATAGATTCTAATTCTATTTCATTTCTTGATCGCCTTTTGAACGGTTATTGCTATAAATTATATAAAAAAAGACTAATAAAATTTTAGTCTTTTTTTTTTTGCTGAATTTTTGTTCTTATTTAGGCAACTATTTTCATGCTTTAGGCTACTAAAAGCAACTATTTTGTTCATTTTTTTCTGTGGCAACCCTGAAATTTAAATATATAAATAATGCAGACGAAAATGTGAGTTACAAAATATGTCACAAAATGTATTTTCTTTGAATAAAAGTTTGATTTTATTTATTTATTTTGATTGATTCAATTTCTCTAAAATTATGGGTTGCTTCAAAGAAACCTAATAATCGTTACCTTTCAATCAATGAAATGAAATGCATTGGTGTTTCTTTTGCTTTACCATGTACTTTTGTTTACAATTGGGATCTTTATTAACTCCTGTTTAGGTGTTTGTCCCAAGGGAATGGAAGGGTGTTATCAAATACACAGGATTGCCACAGGCGACTATTTGCAACTATTTTCGGCCTGAGGCGACAATGGCAATATTTTTTGCCTGAAAAGTATTAAAAAGCAACTATTTGCAGAACAAGGAGACTTTTCTGTACTCATAGCGATTTTTTTAAACATAAATTGGGTGGGCAACCTGCGAGAGTTTCTGAAAACAATGAATTCTTTTTTCTTAAAAAATAGAAAACGTTGAAAATTTTCTATTACAAATTTGAATCATCACTTTTTAATGTTCTCAATTTGCACAGATTCCAGTGTAAATCTATTTTGTTTCTCGATCGCCTTTTCAGCGGTTAATACTAAGAAATTTTGCATGATTTTTTTTTCTATAACGGCAGGTACTGAACTTTCATTCTTCACCTTGGAAGACGCCGGAAGTGTTGCTCATTTAACGTTACTCAGTGGGCACCTGTGAACCTAAGTCACGAAGGCGAGCAACATTACCCACGCCACATTGCCACAAATACCCGTTCATAGGGTGGGTCACATTCACACATCACACACAACAGATGACAACACATAGAGAAGAACATCCATGCCCAGAGCGAGATTCGAACCCGCAGCCATTGACTTCGCCATCAGGCACGCTAACCGCTCGGCTACCTGGCCGGCAATAATAATAAATGATTTTAAACAACTCAATTTTTAATACAACAATGCGGGAATTTCGAATTTGAGTAATCACTTTTCACAATATATATATATATATCATGGTATATGACAATTAAGTCATTTAATAAAATTTCTGCTATATTATTGAAAAATTTGTGTTCTTATTTATGCAACTATTTTGCTCTTTTTTTTCTGTGGGAACCCTGAATACAGCATCATACCATTAAGTTTAGAGTTCATTATAATAGTTTACTTTGGTTTGGAATTGATTAGCATCATTCTTATGCAAATCTGGGCAGCGTATAAATAAACCTGTCTCTCATATTTATATTACTATAGCTGTTACCAGTGTGTAGTAATGTATTCAATGCTAATGTGTTTTTCACTTTTATGTTCAGCTGATGCTGATTTCCAGGCCGGTATAAAATGTATCAGAAGTTTTTCCAATTATAAGATAGACCGATGCTTGTCTATCATGTTTGGATTCATTTCAAGTTATCATGATGGTTATGCAAGGTAATTTTTTTTTATTTCACTTTTTTATGCTTTATTTAAAAATTAGGAAATCAATATCTGATTAATAAGAAAACAGATTAATTTATTTTCATTTTCTAATAGTTTTCTATTAAAAAAATTCCAAACTCTTTCTATCTACTGAAAATTTAAGGTAACTAAATGCAGTTAAATTAATGCTTTATTTTCTCTTACATTTTGTCCTTTAAATATAGGAACTAGCTACTTGAGTATACAGGGTGGTCCCGAATTCATGGTACAAACTTTAATGGTAGGTACAGGACATTGTAACAATGATTTATCGTATAGGAATGTATAGTCGTAAGTGACGCGGTGAGGCGTAAACAGGGGAAAGAAAAGGAAAGAGAAATGGAGTGATCGGTTGGTATCATTGCCGGTAGAGGGCAGTAGTGTGCAGTTTGGTGCTCGATGGATTGGGCGTGGTGAACCAATCCCTTGGCCACCCCGATCTCCCGATTTATCGAGCCTCGATTACTTTTTATGGGGACATCTAAAGCATCTTGTTTATGAGACTCCAGTTGACTCAGATGAGGATCTCGTCGCTCGCATATCTGTAGCTGCTGCAGGTGTGCGTGAAATACCAGGCATCTTTGAACGTGTACGCCAATGGCTCCACCGACGTTGTCAAGCATGTATCGATTCTGGTGGACGCAATTTTGAACACTTACTGTAAACATGACACTTGTCAACAACGCTTTCAATAAAATCTTTGTTTTTCCTTTCGGCCGTTATTTCTCCTGTTTACGCCTCACCGCGTCACTTGCGACTATACATTCCTATACAATAAATCATTGTTACAATGTCCTGTACCTACCATTGAAGTTTGTACCATGAATTCGGGACCACCCTGTATAGAGTATATATTTATAAATGTGTCCAATGTGTGTGTATCAAGGCAGTGTGGTCAAGCAGGGAAATAAAGCAGGTATGCGAATGGAAAAAAAAACAAAAAAATTTATTTTGTAATCATAGTATGGAGAACAAGATGCCAAAATCACCCAAAATCGGAGTGCTTTAGTATTAAAGTTAGGTAAAATCTTGCTGACTTATTCCGTTGATCTTTTAAATCATAAGCAAAAAGGGAATTATTATTCCTAATAACTCGTTGAAAAAAATAGGTTGACGGATATCTCCGGTTCTCAAGCTTTGGTGAAAGGAAAAAATTTTAAATGTTAATTCTAAAATTTTTTAATCTAAATTTAGATCACCCAGATGTAAATAATAAATGTAAGAAAGTATTTTGCTTTGAATTACAAATTAAAAAAATTTAGATAAAGAAATAACATAAAAGGATTTGTTAAAACATTTTATGTTGTGATATGCAATACTTCTGATTTATACATAAAATTAAAGTGTTGAGATATAATATTGTTAACATATTTTTTTATCAGATTACCTAATAAGCATGTTTATATTAATATGCATTTACATATAATATTAATATTTATGTGTTATTTTACGCTTATATGTATAATCCGTACATGTATAATAAGTATGTAAGCATTTATTTAGAATTACTATAAAATACAATGCTTATTCATGCTTAAAACTTCTGTGTATGTTAAAAAATATGCGATACCTCTTGTTTATACATTGTTGATAAATAGTAGATGTAGATACAATGTTAACATAATTTTTGTCAGAATAATAAGCATATATTCATGTTTATATTAATATGCATTCAAAAGAAAAGTAAAAGGGCATGTTATGATTACGAGATTATTTGGGCTTTGATTCCTTATTTTGATAACAATAAAAATTGTTATAATGAAATATGTTTCTAACAATATGTTTCTATGTACTTATAACCTCTTTATTTTTGTAATCATTCTGATCTATTATTTTTTATAAATACCATGAAATAATTGTAGGGTATCTGATTATCCTTTACAATGTGTGGAAGAGATTTTTAAAAACTGTGGTGATATGAAAACATTCCACACATTAATGAAGAAAAGCATGAATGTTCCAACAGCAGACAGTAATCCTGTTGTACCAGAAGTGTGTTTCCAAACCAAACATCATGGTAATTAAAAACATTTATCTACATTTTTATTTTTAAAAAACTTTTCTCCAAGTAGTACCACTTATTGAATCTTGATTATACATTAACATGGTGCGTAGCCTATTAAAGATGCTTATTTTCGTTTTTTAATCCCCTACAGGTGCTTTTTTCTTTCGATGTTTTTAAAAAGTACTTAATTTCCCCTTTTCAAAAATTAATTTTTTTTTCTTTACCATGTTGATTTTCGCCAAGTATTATGCAAGAAGAGTGCTTTTCACATTGTTCTATTCAGCATTATTCACAATTCATTCAACCACAATCTATTTTGGCATACCCTAGGTCCATAGCGTATAAAAAACGAAAATCATTTTACAGGTTTGAAATACTTGCGAGTCCGCATGTGCATATACTGAGCTGGGTTCAGTGAGATGATTGCACTCTCATGTGTAACTCTGATGCATTTTGCTAGATATTCTCAATTTCAGGCTTCGTTTTCCACCCTTTGATATTGAACCAAAAAATCTCTTGATCATTTTATAAGGGCTCATATAATCAAGAAAAGCGTTCTTTATCAGAAACTCGTTATTTAATCATGATCATGTAAAGTCTTTGAAAAGTATTTTGTTAATGTATATAGTGCTTAAAAATATTTTTTGAGTGCTGAAAAAGTACTTAAAAGGTGCTTGTTGTATGCTGAAAGAATTGGCTACGCACCCTGATTAAACAACCAAAGAAAATTTTTTTCATGTAGTTGACTGCACAAAAGTTGCTAAAAATGCTTAAGCTTTATTGTTGCTTTGTCATAAACACTGAAGAATATTTCTACTTTTGTATGTTAAATGGCAGTTTAAGGGTTATTTACAATAAATAGGTTGCTAACTTTAAAAAAGAAAAGAAAGTAAAAATAGGATCTATTGCAATTTTCAATAGAAGTTAGTATGAGTTCATTTGACAAAACAAGTTTAATAAAAAAATCTAAGTTATTCAGTGAAATATTTCTGTGAGAATCACACTTACAACTGCATTAATATTATGCAAGTTCATTTTTGCATCAAAACACACATTTTATTATGAAAGCCTGCCAATGATTAAAAAACATTTTGTACAAATGACACAGTTTTTCTTAACTGATTTCTAAATTTAGATTATGAATACAATTATTATAAGATATACAGGGCTTAAAATTAACAATGGTCCGTTGGTCATGGATAGCTAAAATTTAACTTGGACCAGCAATTAATGTGAAGGAAGGGTATGTTTTTTTAGTTTTTGGTTTTGTGTTATTGCCACAAAATAACATATTCCGTCATAATTGTAAACATAGTCTTTATGATGTAAGTTTTCATTTAAATTCGCTTTAATTGTTTTAAATTATAATAGAAACATGCAAAGGGACATGGAAAAATGTGTTCATGCTACTAATATCTTTTAATTACTAATCCTTTAGACCAATGATTAAATCATCTTTATATCTACCCTTGGATATAGACAGATTTGGATAGGTAGGAACTTTATTTACGTCATACTAGAGCTGCACAATGGACTATTGGCGATGGTCTGGGAAACATTCCTGAGGATGATCCAAAGACATGCCATCGCAATTTTGATCCTCTGCAGAGGGGAGGGCTCCCCTGCTTATAGACAGATTTGGATATTCAATTAAATAACTTTGGTTGCCTTAGTTTAACTCAAAAAAAAACCTTGACCTTTAAAAAGAAGTTGATAAGAGTTCATTAGCTAAAATAAGTATAGGCTGAAAATGAAAACCATAAAATTTAAACAAGGTGCGTAGCGTTTTTAAAAAGTGCTTAAAGGTACTTATTTTTGATTTACGTTTTTTGAATGCCCTTAAAGGTGCTTTTTTTGTTTGGGATTTTAAAAAATTACTTGATTTTCTATCCTTTAAAAAGAGATTTTTTCTTTGCTTTATCTATCCTCATTATAAATTACAAAAAAAGGCATGATTTTCAAAATTTTCTCTGCAATATTTATCAGAAACTAGTTATTTTATAATGACTATGTAAAGTTTTTGCGTTTTATTGATTTTATGTTTATAAATTAAGAACTTTAAACAATAGAAGGAAATAATTATTATTACTTCACAGGTCCAAATTATGATTTATTTTTGGAAGAAAGATTCAAAATATTTTTTCAGTGCTTGAAAAGTACATAAAAAGTTCCTATTTTTTGTTGAAAAATCTGGCTACGCACCCTGTTTTAAGTCAGTCAGTGATATATTTCTCTAAAAATAATTTTTACAGCCTCATTCCTATATCAAAAACAGCTTACTGAAGATCACTCACATATCTTATTACCAAATTCAGACAATAGTAATAATGATAAAAAAAATACAACGATTTTGTTTAAATGGCACGTTTTTTGCAACAATGTTTTCTAAATTATAAGAATTTCTCCAATAAATGTTATTTTGTTGTATCTGTACAATGAACTAATAAATATGCATATTTCCTTCTAGCAGCTACTTTACGAGAATGTTCAATAAGAGACTTTGAAGATTCTTACAGTGAGACATCTAACTGTATAGAAGATGATGGTCTCAATTATTTACCTAAAGGCTTTCAATCGTAAGTAACTATACAAAAAATTCCACCCCCCCCCTCTATTTCATTACAATTTAAATAAAACAAATAATTATATAATTTCTTTAAATATAAATTAAAATATGTACAGTGCGCAAAATAAAAAACAGACCACCCTGATTAACTTTTGATCTAATGATAAGATCTTCATGTTCTAGGACACAATCTTAAATGTGCTAATTAATTAGTGCAGACAATATTTTAAGTTGTGGAATCAGACATTAAAACATACTTTCTCTGAATAAACATGCCCTTTTTTCAACAAATTTGGATTTCTGACTGCCAATATATAGGGGGTAGCTGCAATCTGGGAAATATGGTCCCCATAGTTAGGCTAGGAGAGCAGTCTAAAGTTTGAACCCTTTAATTTTAATTTGTTATGCGGATCATTAAAAAAAAATTGCATACAATTATAAAATTTGTTTATCCAAAAATAATTCCATGCAAAGTATAATTTTTAGTAGGTGTTTATTATTTTATTTAATAACAGCCCTAAAAGATTTGAATTGTAACGTATGAAATTTTTTACACCATTTTAAAGAATGTAATTTTTCTCTGTAAAATACAAAATGGGAGCAAAATCAGTATAATAATTTGTGAAAAATCGAACTTTAAAGAAGCCATAGTTTTAAAATTCTATTTCTCTGGATCTATTGGACCAACTTTGCACAAATTTTGTGTATTTTGCCAAATTTCTTTAAAAAGATGTAAAAAGTTACATACTTACAAATCAAAATTTTTTTTGACTATTGTTAAATAAAATAATAAATATTTATGAAAAGCTACTTTTTGCATGGGATTATTTTAGGATAAACGAATTATATAATCGCAAGCAAAAAGTAAAATTAACGTTAAAGGGTTCAAACTTTGCATCGCTCTCCTGACCAAACTATTGGAACCATATATTAGGGGTCAGAAATTGGATTCCTTTGAAAAAATAGCATAAGGAAGTAAGTTTTGTAACTTAAAATATCGTCTGCACTAATTAATTAGTGTATTGGAGGTCACCCCTTTGAACCATTAAGATTGAGACATAAAACTTGAAAATCCAATCATTAGATCAAAAGTTATTCAGAGTGGTCTGTTTTTTATTTTGATCACTGTACATAACTCATAACTACGTATATATATTTTTTATAGAATTTTAGAGGTGTGTACAAACTGTGTATTGAAAGAAGTTTTTACTATGTGCTATTATAAATTACAAACCTTGAAAGACATCGCTGTTAAAGCTCTTACGCCAATAGGAAAATGTTTGCTCAAGTTTGACGACACAAAGGGTAAGATATATTTTCAGTTAATTATCTTCTTGATTCTCCAAATCTTGAAGAGGACATTTAATTTTACCCTTCATTATTTGTATTATGTGTGCATGTTAGTGTTATGTGAATAAAAATTCAACTTTAGATGCAATAATAGACGAAGTCTTTTTATATATAGCCAGAAACTTTTAACAATTTTTAAAATATTAATGACTAAAAATTAACTTACAGAGTCTTTCTTAATGAACATTTTTTTCTTTGCTCATTTTAGAAAAGTGTATTTTGGAGATAACTCAAGGTGTAAGAAATAAGTGCATTTTATATCTTCATTCATTTGCTTTCTATATCAAAAAGGGAACTTTCATGCAGGCTGCTGAATCATCCAAGTAAGAAATATATTCAATCATGTTTGTTTATTTCTTATAAAATAAAAGAATAATTTACTATATATATTTTTTTTTCCAAAATTGTATAGAGAATTCTATAGCTGCATCAAACAAACAGTGAAAACCTGCCCCGGATATGCACACAATGATATCTTCAGACTCTACAAGAGATTTGCAGGGTTGCAAATCACGTCACAATATGAAGAAGGTAAAATATTGTTTTATAATTGAAGCGAAGAGTATCAACCCCAGGTAACTAAACACTCTAATTTTGCAGTGTTCAAATCATACCTTAAAACATTCAATAATAACAAGCTTAATTTTACCACTTATCTATATCTTAATGTTAGAGTACTTCTCTTAAGTTAAGCTAGCTTATTTATTGTAAAAATGAACATGTCTTTAGCCTTTCAGTAGAATGATAAGTTACATAGTAAGACTGATTTAAGTTTAGTTATCTAGGGATAAAAATATTGTTTTGACACTATTTCCCTCTATAATACTTTTATTTCTATACTTTTTTTTTTAATAAAACTTATCAATAAAACTTTTCACCAATTTGAGCAGCAGAATAAATTTTTAGGGAGCAATGAAATTATATTGTCTGACATATCCAGGACATAAAAAATTTTAAAGAAGGAAACAATGAAAAATGTCAACCGAATTTGATGTCGTATGGGGGTTCCAGCTCCAGAAGTCATAAAAACACAAAACCTTTTCTATCTAGACAGCACGAAAAATGTCTAAAAATTGTTCTCTCTGTACCCCAAAGGTTTTGTTGAAAGTCCAGGAAGAGAGGAAAGTTTTGTTACAAAACCTTTGGGGTACAGAGAGAACAATTTTAAGACATTTGTCGTGCTGTCTAATAAAAAAAGGTTTTGTGTTTTTATGACTTCTGGAGCTGGGACCCCCTGACGACGTCAACTTCAGTTGACATTTTTCATTGTTTTCTTCTTTAAAATTTTCTATTGATTTCTTTTTTTTTCTTCTTTTTTTTACCCTTATATGTCTGGCTGGGTATATCAGGTTTAAAAATTGTACTTTAACATCTGCTTCAAATCTTTAAATAAATTCTTCAATCTCAGAGAAGGTGATTTTTTTTTATTTCTTGTTAAGTCTGTTTAGAATTTGTTTCTACCTTATATTCGAAAAAGTTGAGAGGTGATGATTACTTTTAGAAGATGATAATGACGTTTTAACAATATGAAAATGGTCTTTATAGTTAGAAAATATGAATCTATTATTTGTATGTCTATGTTTAATAAAAGTTTTATCAATTTTGAATTACAGCTAATACTAAATAATCATATTTTCTAGCTATAAACACCATTTTCATAATTGTAAAAACTCCATTTAAATTTATTTTGATTTATTTTAATTTAAAAGTAATTATCTTCTTAAACAGGATTATTATATTTCCTATTCCATTAAATGCCAATTTATATTGTTATATCATGTTTTAGTTTACAGAGCTTTAAAAAACTTACTACAAAAGTTTATAACAACCTAATGTTAACATGAAATTATTCAAACCTTTTTTTTCTTTCTTCAAATAGCTATACAATAACTTGGTTAAGCATTTGTAATTTAAAATGCTACACAGTTTGTTAAAAAGAAATAAAAATTTAAACAAGCAAATTGATTAAATGAGAGAAAATGTAAAATTACAGTGTTTATTATTTGAAAGTGTATTATTAATGTGTAAATTATTATTTTTATAGATACTGAGACAACATTTGGAATAAGCTGATAGGAATGTATTTCTGGTTGCAACAAATTGGTATAGCTCTCATAATGGTTAGTGATTCTTTAAATTCCTTACGTTCCAAAGTTGTAGAGCTGAATTTAAATATTACAAGACATAAGAAATTTATAAAATTAAGATGAAAAGTTATGCAAGAAAACTTAAGAGTTCATTGTAGTTAACCAGTTTTATTTCTTGTGCGAAAAAGATAAATACTAAACACTTCTTATGTAAAAAAAAGAGTTATCCTTCATGAGCAAAATTTGAATATATTTTTTGAAAAATATAAGAGAATGATTTGAACAGAAAAAGATTTCAAACATGTGACTGAAGCTCAATCCCTAATTTTTCCATTCTAATAGTATTTAGTTCTCAAGAAATGCTTAAATAATTCTCTAAGTCATGCAATTTCTCATACATATTAATTAAGTTTAGAGGTTTGAAGAACTGGCAATAAATTAGGAACAAACAAAAAAAAAATTTTAAACACCCTTGGTCAAAAAATAAAGTGCTAAGCTTGTAACTCATGTCAATTACTTTTATTATCATATGAAATAACTGGACAAATTTTGTAAAACTAGCTTAAACGTTCATGGAGATAGGGACATTTTTATTCTTTCTAGTTACTTTTTCTTACTATAACTTCAGAATTTTTAATAAAATTAAACAAAATTTTTAGAGTGATTTTTTAATTAATAATAAAAAATATTTTAAATTTCACAAGATATACTCATATTATAACAATATTACAAGATTATTTTTATACTGTGCATGCATAAAAAACATTTTTAAAAAAAATTTCATAATTTTGTTTAGAATCATATTTAGAAACTTATCAAAAAATTCAGATTTTAATATCTTGAAAATGTAAAAAGTTTCTATTAAATTTTTTAGTAATTTTTGTACTTCTTGATTAAAAGCTAAGAATTTAAGCTTGTTATACGAATAATGAATTTTGTGCTGTTATTTTATAATATAATCAACATAATTGACACGTGTTACAAGCTTATAACTGAATTTTTTACATAGGGTGCTCAAAAACATTTTTTATTTTTGTAATTTATTGCCAGTTCCTCAAACCTCTAAAAGCTTTAAACTTTATTAATATGTATGAGAAATAACATAACTTAAAACACTTATACAAGTATTTCTTGAGAAATATTTTTAAAAAATCAGTTAGTATGGTTCCTATTATTTTTTCCAACCCTGTATGTATGCAATTAGAAAACATTTCATTCTACTCATTTTAACATGACTTACATTCTACCAACTTGTTACAAAAGTCCTCCATAATATCTTACGTGGTCTACTCACAAAGGAGTTTAGGTAAACTTTTAATACATAACATTCTGAATTTTTTTTCCGATGGTCAACTTATGAAGCATTTAAAATAGCGTTGCTTGACAAATTCAATTAACTTCAACAGTCAACATCCAGGATAAACAGATAGGTTACAAATGTTTTGCTCCCTATTATAGGATAAATTCAATTCTTCAAAATAAAGGTTTACTTGTACAGATGGACAACTTGACAATTTAAATTCCACATTAAGTTAATAATTGCATCTCAACCAAACTAATCAAATATACGCGTTTATAAATTCAATAAAAAAAAAATTTCAACAGCATCGATTTATGTAATCAAGTTGAACAAATGAATTTTAAGAAAAAGGTATTTCATAGGCTTTTATCAAAAATAATTTATGATCTCTGAAACATATGAAGCCTGTTTTCTTATTTTAATTAAATTCAGAGAGTTACTAAACTCAAATTGAAGAGGACTTGCCTAAATTCATTATTTAAATAATGAGAAAAAGTTGAACTCAAATTTTTCTCTGATATAACTTTATAGTTCATAGTCAAGGAAATATTAATGCAGATCAACAAATAATCATAACTCAAATGCTAATGAATAACATCTCAGCTGGAAAACTCAACTTATAATTCATTTTGTATATTTTTTTTAATAGCTGTTTTTAATTTTAGGTTTGAGTCATTTCATTGGACATTCAAGATTAACTAATTTATCAAATCACTGTACTATTCAAACAAATAAAACATTTTTATTTTGTTTCATGATCAGCTAATTATTTTTAACATTTCTTAATAAATAATGCTCTTGGCACAAATGTGTATTTTATACAACATTGATATAAGTGATTAAAAAATCAAAGCAAAACAATCTAGAAAAAATAAGAGTAGAGGTTATAGTACCCTCTTGGGGCCACCTCTAGCAATAATGCAGGATACAATACAGTCGTGCATCGAAGCATAAGTCGCCTAGGACATCCTGTGACATCTCTGGCAATCAAACCTTCCTGGGGAAGGATCAAAAGGGGACAGTCTTGCTGAAAATTGGCTCCTTGGAACCTTGCCATGATAAACTACATGTGGCTAAAGGATGTCATGGACAAACCGCTAGACTGTCATGGTACCATGGATCAATATTAAAAATGATTTTGTGTCCTATTTTATAGCTCTCCATACCATTACACCTGCTGTAAAAGAAGTGTGTTGCTATACAGATTTAGCAGGATTGTGGTGTTTACCATGCAGCCTCTATATTCTAACACGATGGCTCTCATTACTTAAATTACAACTGGATTAATCACTGAAGACTATCTGGTTGCAATTGAGAGCAACACCACTTCAAACGGCGGCAATATTGGTTGGCTTTCTGCTTTTGCTGTACTGAAACACACCACTTTTACAGCTAGTGTGATGCTATGGGGTAATATCGGTTATGACGTGATTACCCTTATTATTCACTATGATGCCATGATAGTCTAGCGGTAAGTTCACGACATTCTTAGCCACTCGTGGCGGGGCTTCCAGGAGCAATGCTCAATCAGACACAGCAAGGGTGTCACAAGAATTCCTCCCTTATATGGCCTTGATCCTAGATTTGTCAACAAACGAGCATACAGTACCTGGCAAAATTATTAGATACACTATAAAATCTTAATTATCAGGTGATTCTATACAGCTTTATTGCTTTTCCGCAACTGAAACCAGTTTGCACTTGTTTACGTTCGTGTATCAATTGGTTAAAGTAGATGATGTATTATATAAATATAGAACAGTTATTATATTAGTATATTATAATTAGACCAAATTATTAGAAGCACTGTAGTATTTTAATAATTACATGTTATGCACGAGTTTATAGGCAATACTTTTATATTTAAACCAGTGTTTCTCAAACTTATGACTTTTGTGTACCACTAATGAAAAATAAATGTATTTTTTACTATAAAAAAATTTTTTACAAAAGTTAAAAATCACAACTGGCTGTTGACACCACTAATTATTAACTGTTAACTCTGCAAAAAATAGCCAATAGAAAAATACATAATCGTAAATTTTCATGGCTAGCTTAATTTTTGAAACTTTCGTTTGTTGCAAGATATTTAACATAAGTACGCATACCCCCTCTTAACTGTTCCCGTACGTGTACCACACTTTGGGAAACACTGATTTAAACACTCATGTAATGGGTTTTCATTCAAGAGATTTTTTATATACTTTCTGTTAGTATTTATTTTTAATGTTTGCATTACAATGTTAACCAATTGATACACGAACGTAAACAAGTGCAAACCGGTTTGAGTCACGTAAAAAAAATAAAGCTGCATAAGTATCACCTGATAATTAAGAATTTACATAGAATCTTATAGTTCAACTAATAATTTGACCATGGACTGCATATGAGACAACATAGGGCAGCTTCCTAGTTTAGTTGTGTCCTTACAGCAACTATGAAACAAGATGCTGTGGGACTTCATAAAGGATTTGTATGCCTCAATGTTAGGTTGTATAACATCATGCAATCACACTAAGGTGGCCTATGAGTGAATTAAAATCTCCATTCATATGCCTATTTTCCTGAAAAAATAATGATTTTGCTTTGATTTTTTAATCACTTACATGTAACAATATTGTACCTATGTATATAAATTTTCTTTTAAGTCTGAAAACTCTTTCTAGGTGCGCTAACATTTATCGCATTGAGTGTGTGTATTATATATAAAGGGTTCTAAAGTTCAACTTTACTTAACTTAGAACTTTTGAGTTATTTCAAAGCACTTTAATAAGTTAATTAGCTCTGACAAACATAAGTTATTTATATTAATTTAGATACTGTAGAAAACAAATTAGTGGGTTAGTAATTCATCATTTCTGATAGAGTTTATATTTAAGATGGATTTAAAAAATTTATTTTATACATTACAAAAAGAAATAAATAGTGAGTCTATATATGAAATTTATATTTCACTAAAAAGCTGCACATTCTCCATATCTTCAAGGGTGCCTTTAACTTCAATTAAGTGTGCAGGTGGGTGACCACTTGGATTAGTCTGCATAGGGTATTGGTCCTGTGCGGTATTGGTCCTCGTTAAACTGTTCCACAGTTAAGTGCTCAACTTTGCGTGCAGTTTGTCGGGCTACCAACCATCCCCTCTGCAGAAGATCAAAATTGTGATGGCATGGACTTTCGCCAATAGCCCATTCTGCAGCTCTAGTACGACGTAAATTAACTACTACTACTTAACTCCAATTAAAAAAGATATTGTTTTTATATTGCTTTCAAAACTATAACGAGTTTAATAGCATCATAAAAATCTTAATATGTTTGAACCCCCCCCCCCCNCCCCCCCCCCAAAAAAAAAACAATTACACTCACAAAAAGATCCAATAATGAATAATTGATTGTAATAAATAGAAAAGTACTCACCCTTTATGATTCTCAAAAATACATCTTGCATGAAGCTTACAAAAATACATCTTGCATCAAAATATAGACGAGCTTAATAGCTAAAGCTGTATATCAAACCTTAAAGGAAAAAACAACTCCTTCATAAGACAAAAAAAACTTTTATTTAAAATAAAGATATATTGCACACTATATTCCGGTAGTACAAATATTGAATATGATCATCACTGCATATTTGAAAATGGTTTATACGATGAAAAAAAATTGCTCCCAGGGCAAATAAATACAAAAACCAAATTACATAAAAGTAACATTAAATAATGAGAAACACAATATTGCACAAAAATTGTCAGAAAATAAAATCACAATTGTCCATAACCGGTAAAAAAAGCTTTAATTTCAATTGTATAATTTTAGAGGCAACATAACTCATTTACTGAAAATTTTAGTTTAATAGGGACCAAAGCATAAAAAAAAAATTTGATTTAACAGCACAATCTGCAAAATTAATTTAAGGTACCAAAAATTCTTACCTGCAGACATTTTATAGATCAAGCTTTTACCTTTACTACAACAATATCATTCCACATCCAGATGGTATTTGGAAATTGGCAAAATTTTTAGTAGTAAAAAATGCTTTAAAGCATACATAATTTTCTCTAAGTTGATGAGGCTGTTTTTCCTTCAAAGATTATACATACCAGAATTAGATAATTGCAAGTGAAAATAATGTTCTTAAGAATAATATAAATACTGTAATATGGATTGTGCAATTTTAGTGACATAACAGTAAATATAAACATAATGCTGCAATAGTCAATAACTTTTTTTATCTTAAATGTTATTTTAAATATCAACTGTTGACTTCAATTGTTAATTATAGATATTTATTATTATAAAATATTTAATAAAATGATTCAATGATACTACATATCTTTTTATTTCTCATTTTTGTAAAAATCAACTAAAATTTAATAAATCTAGTATTTTATTATATTATCAGTGATTGTGTTGCATTATACAACATAACTTTTCAAGTTGCATGGGATAAAAAAATGCTCTTCTAAAATATTTCAAGCAAAAACAGATTAAATAAATAGTCCCAAGAAACTGAAGTGGAAAGATATTGCCAGATTAAAAACTTCATTCTCTTCTAAAATATACAACTAGTAAATAACAATCCACATGCTTCAAGATCTTCAAAAATAGGTGGCCATTTTTCAGATTTGCCAAACATGAATAAGAGGAAACAAAAAGATTTTAAATAAAAAATGTAAAGTAACCAACGAAAAATGGAAAAAATAAAGGGGGGAATGAGAAAAACCATAGTATTGAGAGATAAAAAGGATGAAAAACAGAACAAGAAAAACCACAGTGGCCTAGAAGGGCGGTAAATTTTATTTCCAGACACTATGGAGAGGCGGTGAGGAACTAATGTTAACAAAGGAATCAGAATTCATATGAATAAAATAAGATTACAAGGAATCAAGATGAGCCGATTCGACTGGAGCAGAAATAATAAAGCATTGCCAAAAATTGAATTTATGCCCAAGATTCCAACAGTGTGCAGCAATTGACTATTTCTTGAATTATTCATAATAAACTGTTATTTACTGTTTGTATATTTTCGAAGTGAATGAAGTATTTAATCAGGTAATAGGTCAAAACAGTTTTTATTCTGACTAAACAAAGATGATATAAGTTAAAAAATAAAGGGATGTACAAGTCTTCGAATAGATAATGATCAGTTAAGGAATGTTTTCTAAAAAGATTTAGTACATATAACAGCACAAAAATGAAATGATTTTAATAAAACAAAATTTAAATAAAAATACAAAATGAATATGATGGTACAAAAGGTTTATAAATCCAAATTTGAACGAATTTATATTTTTTTAGTGTAAATAAAATATATCATTGAAAGACATCCAAGAGCAAATTAAACATTGCAAATTTGCATTTATAATCAGGCTACCTATAACTTAAGCTGCTACATCTAATTTCGTAAACTGATAATGATTGCATGCATTACAGGGCTGTTTCAATCTGTAAAGATATCACAAAAATAGCAACATCCAAGTGCCAATAATTTTGACAGAACATATAAATAAAAATAGTTAAACACAAGACTGAAACAAAAAAAAACACCATTTTACACAAGAAATTATAAATGATTATGTTTGATCTATAGTAAACAGTACTAATGCAATCAATTTGATATTGCACTGCTTTTACGAATATGGATATTTTAATTAACACAAAATGAAATATTTAAAAAAAATTTGATCAAAAGATAATTACCCAGAAACAGTAATTTTATCCAACAAATCACACTACTGCAGTACTTTGAACAAAACATCTTGTTCACACTTTTAAACTAGTTTTATAGTGACTGCATTAAAATTTTGGACAAAAAAAAAATTTGTGATCATAGTAATTTCAACATATTAAAAATAAAATTAGTTTTTAATATTAAGTAGAAAATATCACTTTTTAAATAAAAAATTATATACCTTCAAGCTGCGTTTGGGATTGGTGAAATATATAACTTAAAAATCAGAACTGTAAAAAATAACATCTTTCCAGACAAAATTTTGAATACAATTTGCACAACTTAGTCTACTTTATAAAATAAATATTGCCCAAATTTAAAAAGTATTCAGAAGGTTTAAATATATATTTGACAACCATGTATTTAATGTAAAAAGATTATACGTAAATGTATATTTTGAATATAAAATAGGAACAATAACATTAAAAGCATAGCCGAATCATAGCTTTTAACGTGTGTTTTATGTGTAGTCGGCGTAATTTTATTTATAAAATCTGATATCACTTGCTTTAAGAATTATTTTAACTATTTCACTTTCCAGATATTTTTTTAATACTTCAAATTTTTCAATGGTAAATATTTTCCGCTTAAGCCGACTATGTGCCTGCATAATAAACGTGTTTTCTCTCATGGTACTCAAGATTGAAAGAAATATATAGAAGTAAACACCGCTTAAACTTATGCAGCTACAATTCTTAGAAGATTAATGTATTTTTTCCATAATTTGAAATGTTGAGGTCTAGAATAGGATTTTTAAGTTATAAAATGACATTTTTGAAAGAAATGAAAAGAAAAACATTTGATTGTAATAAATAACAACAAATTAAAAATAGTTCTTTTTTTCAAATTCCTAAATAATTGTAATTAATTAATGACTAGAATTTAATTTCCTGTTAATATTTCCAAATTGTAATATTTTCACATATTAAAAAAAACTATAAATGGTAATGAACAAGTATAATGGAACACATTTTGAATATGACAATATCTTACAAGTGTAAATAGTTTCTAAAATAAACAGCATACATAAATGAAATTACTCAAATGCTACAAAATAATAAAAAACGATATTTATAATATAGTGAGCTACTCATTAAATTGCACATTAAGTTTTAGTTTCATTAATTAAAAGAAAAAATACTTAAAATATTCACATTTATAATTAACATTGATACTTTTTAAACAAATATTCAAATTGTTTTTAAAAATGATATTAATATAAATTATTATTATATGATATTAATATAAATGATATGATATAAAATTAAAGTCTTTAATAATTTTAATGAGCACTTTTGGCATTAAGAAAATTCTAACTTTTGTTAAAAATATGGCTTAATCTAGAACTTACTAATAATCTAATATTCTACTATATTATGTAAACTGGAATCATACAACTTTTAAAGTATTAGTTAAGAAATTAGAAAGCCAATCTAAATTTACTTCAATTTGATAATTTAAACTTAAAGAGTTTTATAAAGCTTAAATAGAAAGAAATAATAAAGTTCAAAAGAAAAAATCTATTTTAGTTATAGCACACACAGGAAAATTCTTTGAGATTTAAATGGAAAAATCCTTAAACATAATGGTTTCAAATAAACTGCAAATTCGATACGAAAGTTTAAACAAACTTAAATTGCAAACTGAACTAAAATTAATTCAAAGAAAAAATAGAGCGAAAAGTGGAAGCTGCACATAAACTTTTATGTAATTAAATTATAGGATTAAGTTTTTAAAAAAAACGTTTTATTCCTAAAAAGAGCAAGCAATTTAAATTAACAATTCATTGCTATTCTTATTTTTAAATTAAACACTCTATTTGTTCCCCTAAAAAAAGATAGCAATGAAATTAAAAATACTAGATTTTTCATGTTATATATTTTTAAAGAAAAAAATACCAAAAGATTTTTAAGTAATTTTTAATTCTTTGAATTAGTTTAATTACTTTCTACAGTTTACTTTAAATAGTTTTTTCTTCAATTTATTTGTAATTATTTTGTTGAATAATGATATAATTCTTGAAAAAATGCTGAATAAAAATTCTTAAAATTAGTAGTATAAATAGAAAACAATTCAAAATATGTATAAGCCTATTTTCTTGAGAAAAAAAATAATCAAAATAAATAACATAGCTGCTAAAATTTTTAAACAAGTTTTTTTTTTTTTAATTTTATAAAAACATAAGAAAAAGAAGGTAATTACACTATAAAAAATTACATTAAAATTACCGGGAATTTACACAAATGGCAAAAATTGCCACAAAAGAACACATAAACAAAAATCTCTCACATCTTTGGTATAACTAACTAAAAGTTATATTTTAAATCACGATTTTCTAAAAAAGAAAATTTTAAAAAATTGCATAATAATCAGACCAAACAGCAAATCATCAAGAGTATATTTTCAGGATAAAAAAAGCTACGTTTTCTATCACTAATATTATCTTGAAGTTTTATGTCAAAGTTCGAAAATTGCTCAGATTATCTGTTTACTAACAACAGAATACTAACAAACCACAATATTTACAAATAAACAATAAAAAATAATCCATCAACCACGATATTTAAGAATATATATTATATATGTCAGAGAATATTCTCAATATTCAAGATATTGAGTAAAAAAATGCTATATAAATGATCACAGATCAGAAAAATATTTAACCTGTTTGTTGTTTTTTATCAATAAATACCTAGATTTAATTTCACATTATTTTAAACTAGGTTGTCTAGCTAGTTTCAGATATATCTGATTGAGGAATAGTATTCATGACGTCCTGAATTTTTTCATGCAGCATTTTGTACTTGAGTTTTACTTGATTAATGTACTCTTCCTCTTCTAAGTCCAGAATTTTCAGAAAATTATTAAGCTCAGGGATTGCAAACTGCTCCCACTGAAAAAGAAAACAATGACTACAAAATTTTTTTCAACATAAAGGTTTAGAGTCAGAAGCAAAAGTACCGAATTTCCAGACTAGCTATCAACAATCAGAAGAACACACAAGCATATACAGTTAGCATTCACAGAATTCAAATAATTGTTTGATGACAGGATGCATAGTCAGATTTTTCATTAAAAAAATAAGCATCTTTTAGGCACTGTTTAACAGTAGAAAGACTAAAACTTAGTATATATACCTATATAACCTTAGTATATATACCTATATAACCTTAGTATATAACCTTAGTATATATACTTAGGGTAATATATACCTATATTGCCCAAAAGTCATCAAAATGACTGAATTGTGAAAGAATAACTAATGTGTAAAGAAATTTGTTTAAAATTAATTTTTTTATACTATTTACAGTTATATAACAAGTTATTAATAAATATTAACAATAAAAAAAATTATATGTTGTACAAAAAGTTACAAAATTTTAAGAAATTGTGTCATTATATACACCATTATTTTTCTTAACTGAAATTTAAAAGCAGTCAAAATGACTTCCTTGGGCAATCTAGCGTTTAGCACCCAAAAAAACATTTTTAATCACTATTCAAAAAAAATCATAATTGGGATCTGTGCAGCAATAAAAATTATTTTTTTTATAGTTTAAAGTTCTTAATTTAAGAACATAAAATCAATAAAATTCAAAAACAATTTTCACAAAATCATGATAAAATAACTAGTTTATGATAAATATTGGAAAGAGAATTATGAAATTCATGCATTTTTTGTCATTTAGAATGACAATCGACACTTCAAAGAAAAAATCTTTCTTTAAAAGATAGAAAATTTAGCACTTTTTACAAACCCTGAATAAAAAAAAGCACCTTTAAGGGTTTTAAAAAAACGTAAATCAAAAATAAGCACTTTTTAAAAACCCTATGCACTCTGCCCTATTTTTGATTTTAAAATCTCATTTCTGGTGCATAAATCTACCGCTATCAATAAGTCGATTATTTCTATAGACGTCATGAGTCGAATGATAGACTAAAAAAAGTGGAATTTCAAAAACTTTGGCTGGGGTGAAGAATAATTTTTGTGGGATTCGAATGATGAAGTAAAATCTATTGCAGAGTAGGATGCATATGATGACAGAGCTAACATTATTTAATCTGACAAATATGATGTTCTAGAATCTTTAAATTTATAGCTTTATTGTACATTCAAAAGTTATCATTGAACTTTTATTTTTTGAAATAAACTTGAATAAATTAACTTCACTTATTTTCAATTTTCTCTGAACGTAATTTTAATTTTTTTCAAAAAAACCTTTATCTGTAACGGAAATATGAGAGAAAATGCAATATTAATTGTATACATATGAAGAATAACTTTTGAAAAGAGTAAATCTATACTTATCTTTCTCCTTGTTTATAGAGCATTTATATTTTAGTATCAACAAATGTCCTAATTAATTACCGGAGCATAAGTTCGGATTTTCGTAAAATTTTTGGGGTTTGAAAAGTTTAATTATGCACTGGGATGTAAGGTAGTGCAATTTTAAAACACATATATTTCTTAATTCAATATAGATATACAAAATTAATAAATTTAAGCAAGAATTTACTGTTAAAGTGAAAAAGTAACATTTAGATATAAGTACTAAATTTAAAATTATATGATGCTGAAACTTTTTTATATCAATAGATAAAGAATTCATATTTTAAATAACCTACATTTAGTAAAAAAGAAGCAAAGATATATGGAAATCTTATGTCTTAAGACACATAGTTTAAAAAATCTAGCAAAATCACTGATTTTTGATTATCAGGAATTTCGTTTTTACATATTTTTCTCAAAAACTAAACTATTTCTGAATCTAAGCCTTTCATAAATGCTTAAATACAATACAGTACAAGTTCAGTATTATACGTACAATAATATCCTCTGTTTCATTTTCTTGTAATACAAAATGCTTATCTTCATCACAGGCATACAGTGCTAGCAACAATGGTATCTCATGATCCTGAATTCTTCGCAGTTTTGCTGATAAAAATAACAAAATAAATTAAGATTAAAAAAAAAAAACACCGGCCACATTTTGAATTCAATCGGTTTAAATATTTTACATACCTTTATTAAAACCATTGGAATAGGTCCTTTCATATAAGGCAAATTTGTGAGGATTGTCAGCTACTTTAAATTTTTTCAGCAAAGCATTGATGACTTCTCGGGCAGAGTATTCACTACAAAAAAAAAGGAGAAAAAAGTAAAAAGCTGAAAAATAAGGTATTTGCTGCATAATTTTTACAACAAATATATTTTTACTAAAACTAAATTTAACCTTATTTAAAATGACTCTCAAGTGATATCAAATTAAAACAAGAACTTCATGGCGTAAAGGCCAGTATGGCTAAAATGCAAATAAAGCATTAACATTACAATGCATATTTCAGCGTAAGTCAATTTAAACTTTCTTCATTTTTTTAGATTGAAAGCACACTTCTTTCATAAATATTAATATCATTTATTTAAAAGATTTATGCATTAAAAGATTCATTAAGCATGGAGTTGACTAGTTAGCTTAGAAGATAAAACTTTAAAAAAAAATTTATTCAATTAAATCAACTTGCACACAAAAATACGAATTCATTGTTGTTGATAAATATTAAAAAGCATTGCCTTGTAATATCTGTATAAATGTAACTCAGGGTGCATAGCGAAATCTTTCAACAAAAAATAAGCACCTTTTAAGTACTTTTTATCAGCCTTTCAGTGGCTCGATAAATGAGTACCAAGCATGCTTGGGAACTAATCACTGGGGGTTCTGCGTTCGGCTGACCACCTGACCGGAACATCTGCACCCTAGAGCCCAAGGTCAAGAAAACTGAGATGGGCATAGTAGGCCTTGGCCCTCTAGGGCTGTTGCGCCGCTGAGTTTAGTTTAGTAAGTACTTTTTAAGCACTTAAAAATATTTTCACGCACTATATACATTAACAAAATGCAAAATAATTTTAAAAGACTTTACATGATCATGATAAAATAACTAGTTTCTGACAAAGAACTCTTTTCTTGATAAAATTAGCCACCATAAAGAGATCGAGTATTGAGATATTTTTCGGTTCGATTTCAAAGGGTGGAAAATGAAGCCCGAATTTGAGAATATTTTGCAAGATGCAGCTGAGCTGCACTCGAGAGCGTAAGAATCTCATCAAACCCAGTTCAGTATACACACTTGAGGACCAGTAAGTAATTCATCAAACATGTAAAATGATTGGCGCTTTCATACACAACGAATTTCATACTTCGAGCTTTGGACTCAATGCAGACATTGTTTGTTGGTTGACTTGACAGTCAAAACAATGACGAAACGAACAAAAATATATTATTTTCAATTAAAATGGTTTTCAGGTAAGTTTACGATCTTATTTTTTGAATTTATTTCAATTCAGGGTTGCCACAGAAAAAAATGAACAAAATAATTGCTTCTAGTAGCCTAAAGCATGAAAATAGTCGCCTAAAATTATGAAAATAATTGCCTAAATGAGAACAAAAATTTTTCAATAATGTGACTAAACATTTATTAAATAACTTCATTGCAATATACCATGATCCATTTAGTCAAGTTGACGGCCTATATGATAATTTTTAAATAAGCGTTAGTGTTCTAGCACTAAATTTTTATATAAAAAAATTAGTTTATTTGCAGAACATTAAATATTTTTAAATGCTAGAAATAATGCAGAAAAATAATTTTTCGTTGAAAAAAACATACTCTTTTTAAATATGAAAAGCATTTCAAGCATCATAGTATGGTATTAAAAATTGGGTTCTTTAAAATCATGCAGAGTTTCGTAGCAATAACTGTTGAAAAGGCGATTGAGAAACAAAATAGATTCACAATGGAAATTGAGCGCATTAAAAAGTTATGACTCAAATTTTTAATTCAATATTTTTTAATTTTTTAGAAGAAAAAAAATTCATCATATTTAGAAGCTACCGTGGGAGGCAGGTTGTCAACCCTATGCATGCTAAAAAAAAAAACATTGCTTGGAGCACAGAAAAGTCTCCCAATAGTCTCCTTTTCCTAAAAATAGTTGCCTTCATAGCCTTTTCAGGCAAAAAAAGTAGCCATAGTTGCCTCAGGTCGAAAATAGTTGCAAATAGTCGCCTTTTAGTCACATGTGGCAACCCTGCAATTGTTTTTAATATATAACCATAATTAACACTCTGGAAATTAATTTTTTGCATAATATATAAATATATTTATAGTTAATACAGATATAATATTAAAAAGAATCCTATTGTATTCCCTAAGTATGCAGGCCCTCAATATAACTATATATCCCTCTGCAACAATACATTTATTTAGACCCAAAATATTGTTGTAGCAAGGTTTTATTGTAGTTAGCAGCCCTGCATTTAACAGTTTGACCTAAAATAGATAAATTTTTTTAAAAAATGATGCATTACCTGGTTATGTGCAAGGCTTTAACAGTATCTCGAGGTAAATAAAAAGAAGTTAATGTTTTTCTACCACAATCATCTTCTTCTTTTAGAATATCATAGATGGAAGGTGGACGTGTCCCAGCAATTACATTGATTGGCCTTGTTAGGTTCATGTGGACACGAATAAACCCGTGTAGCGTTTCACCATCTTCTTGCTTTAAAATAACATAAGAAAAAACATATTATTACAAAACTATTGCACTAAAACTGTAATATGAATAAGAACACATGATGTAAAAATAAATAAAAACATAAGATGATCTTTAAGATGAACAATACACATTAAAACTGCCATTTTGGCAGCAATGATAAAAGAATCATGATGGTGACTGTCTGCTGGTTTTTATTTTGAGCCTCAAATAGAGAATTAAAAATTGCTAGTTCAAAAGAGTAGAAATACTGGATTATTTGTTGATAGCAATCACAATCATCGCTGCTTTTACAAAAGGCAACTTGCAATGGGTACAAGTTAGAGATGAGACAGGTTCAGACTGGCTCATTTAGGGTGCATAACCAGATTTTTCAACAAAAAATAAGCACTTTTGAAGCACTCAAAAAACATTTTTAATTACCTTCCAAAAGAAATCATTATTAGGATGCGTGAAAGTAATAAAAATTATTTTATTCTATCGTTTGAAGTTCTTCTTAATTTATGAACATAAAATTCAAAAACATTCACATAATCATGATGAAATAACTAGTTTCTCATAAATATTGCATAGAAAATTGTGAAAATCATGTATTTTTTGTAATTTAGAACGACAATCACCATGGTAAAGTAAAAATTTCAATTAAAAAGATAGAAAATTAAGCCCTTTTTACAAACCCCGAATTAAAAAAAGCATCTTTAAGAGCTTTTAAAAAAAATGCAAATTAAAAATAAGCACCTTTAAGCACTTTTTAAAAACGCTACACACCCTGTCATTTAATGAAGGCTCATTTAATGAAGATATGAAATGATAAAATACATGTGGGCTCATTTAATGAAGAAAAGGCATTGGACTTGGCGATAAAATTTGTATTTAACTATTTTATTCTTTTTAAAAAAATTATCAGTTCAGTTATTTCTTTTAAAGAATCTAAAATTTATAAGATTAAAAAAAATATGGTGATCTGCTGATGAGTTGGGAAGCTGACACTAATTGTCAAGGGACTTTTATTTTGCTTAAGATTTTTATTTTATTTTTTAATTTTTATTTTAGCCATCTTGTAATTTGAGAGAATTCAATTTTTCTATTTGCTTTGTCTTTTACAAGTTAGAAATAAAAAAAGAGCTAATGAATAATTTTCTTGTTTAGACAGCAAGAGCCAAGTGACCACAACATTTGCCTTTATACATTAAACTTGGGATCAAAGTAATCCTATATATCTTGGGCTTGGATTAAAATTCTACGGGCTATAACTTCAAAAAGTGAACCCACCAGGTGTATTTGAATAACATTCAACATAAGCAAAGTCAGCAATAAATTTTGGTCAGCGGCAAAAAAGAGCCATATTTTTAAACTTGAAAGTGAACTTGGAAACTGGAAAGTTTTTAATTTACAGTTTCAACAATTTATGAAAAATTAAAGAGGCAATAAAATAAAAATTATTTTGAAGAAATAATGGTTCGAAAAAATACTATAAAATATTTTTGTTTAATCAAATAATTTCTCATGCAAAGGAATGGCCGATCTGCATTTTAATTAAACTTTTTAAACCTTAAGTTTTGTTCACACTCAGAGTATTTTTCCTAAAATGCAAAGTTAAAAAAATTTAAATGTCTTTACACCAATTAAAAAATTACTGCTTTTATATTTTGATCAAAGTAGCAATACTTGTTTTTAAAACTTGTTTTTATTTCAATGCAGCGCACTAAAACTTTGAAAATAACATTTACATAGTAAATTTAAAATACGCAAACTTACAAAAACTAATAACTTCAGTAAAATTAAAAATGAAATTCCTACCAAAACCATTTCAGAACTATGGTGCAATGCATTATAGCGTTCAATTCTATGACGTAACTCTTCCCCATCAAGATGTTCAAAAAATAAAGGTGACAACCTGTCCTGTAAAATGCAAAAATAACAAGGTTTCAAACGAAATAATCAGCACTTCAATTAGCAAATTTACAAATAAAGTCACTAATATATCTATGATACTGTTATTTTACATAAGGACTATGCTCAGATTAGTATTATTTAGTTATTAGAAATGAAATACTGATGAAATTTGATTATTCGAAGCTCTATCACAAAAATACCTATCTTAACTCAAGTCAATTTTCAAATAGTTTTTCTAAACTTCATTTAATGTTTTTACTTAAAAAATATTTTTTTAAAAAATACTTAAAAAAACAAAACAAAAAAAAGTAGAACAAAAACATGGAGCGCACAATATAAAACTGGAAAACATAAAAACGAAAAATTTTGCTTTTTCGGCTTTTTAATATATAGATTGATTTATTTTTTTCAAATATTATTTATATTAAATACATAAATATATTTGAAATATATATAATATATTTGAAATACATATAATATATTTGAAATAGATATATTATATTTGAAATATATATAATATATTTGAAATATATATAATATATTTGAAATATATATAATAAATTTTAATTATTTTTTCAAATATCAAAAATTCTTCTTCTCTTTTCATTAATCTTTATTATTTTCCATGTTTTCTCGATATTTTAAACTTATGTAATGCGTTTTATATACTTGCAGCTCATGAGCAGTAAATAAAACTTATCAATTTTCTTCCTTTTTCTCTTTTTATCCTTCGTCTTTATTGTGCTATATATATATATATATATATATATATATATATATATATACACACACAGGGTGGTCAATCAAATCAGGTTTCAAATTTCCAGGTTAACAGGGTTTTTTTTTCTCATAAAGTGTAGAATGGGTACAAGAAAAGAAAATTAGAAAACAAGAAAACAAGAAACAAGAAAAGAAAAATAAAATTGAAAAATAAAAATGTCCAGCTTTTCTTTAAAATTTGCTGATTTTTCCAGGTTTTTATCAAAAATTCCCTGACTTTTCCAGTATAAAATAATTCTCTCTCTATATATATATACAAGGGTCTGTCCAGACATTTTGTGAAAGGTCCACTTTTGTAAAATTGTGAAAAAATTACTTGTACCAATTTGTTAATATAAAATAAACGTTAAGTCACATTCTTTCAACCAGGGTCCGCTTTTGTGAATTTGTGCAAATAAGGTCCGTTATTGCAAAAAACCTTTTTCAAGGAGTTTTTAAATTGTAAAGACATACAAGATTATGCTCAACACTGTAAATATATAATTTTAAAAAATTTAATTTTAAAAAATAAACAGCAATTGCAGCTACTAAATTAGCGATGCAACATATAAATATTTGGTATTTAGCCTATACTGCTGAACGCAGAATATAAATTTCGGGCGAATAAAGCAAGAAGATAAAATTTAGTTCGTTTACATCTGTCTTTCCTTCCCCCCTCCCTTCCTGGGAAGGGTTCATTCGAGTAACAAAACAATAATGAAGATAAACAAATTTGTGAAGGGTCCGATTAAAAGATAAATTATTTTGTGAAGGGTCCGTTTTTATGAAAAGATATTTTGTGAAGGGTTCCTCAACGGACCCAAATTTCTTCTAAACAGACCCCTGATATATAATGATAAAAAAGTGACAATTACCCTCTCTCTAACATCACTTTTTAAAGTGTCAATTATTTCACTGAAATTGGTTGTTTGTGTATCACCAGATGATCCTTTACAGTCAAGCGTCACAAGATGTTGGCACCTCTGGTGACAGGTATAACGACAATCTAAAATGCAAACACTTTTATAAACAAAACATTGGAAAATTTCTAATTCAATTTTTTCCAATAAATACAGATATATTCACTTTGTTCACTGAACCCATTATTATTCATTTTGAAACCATTAAAAATTGGTCTTAATCTCAAAACAATAAAAAAAATTTCAAATTCAGCCAGACTTCATTCGAAATTTTCATTAAACAACTACATGGCAAAGAAAGCGTTTGAAGAATCCTATTTCTTCTAGAACAGTAAAAAAAAAGATGCAGAAACTAGTCAAATTGTAAGAAACTAAAGATGATCAGTACAATTTAGCAATAGTATTATAAGAATGTACTAAATTTAAGCAACTTAAATTTAATATAGTCTCAGAAAGCTAAAATTTTTTTCACATCTACTTTTTAATAAAAATAATTATTTTCACATTATTTTAGTTACATACAGAATTTTAAAATCTATTTATTATAATATTATTTAAAATTCAGTTTGAGTAGTCATACTAAACAGAATTTAATTTCATAAATTGGTATGAAATTATGAATTCAATATGTGAGTATAGTAGTGTTTTGACTTGAAAATTTAGAGGCGCAAAAAATTTTTATTACAATATTTTAATGCTTCATAAAATAAGGTCTTGCTATACTTAAGTGCGTAAAAAATTGAAGAACCTACAGTTTTTCCAATTTATAAGAAAAGCATTAAATTTGTATTTATTTCAAAGTTATTTTTTCGTTTTCTCTTATTCAAATATGATACATAAATTAGCTTGGAAATTAACATTGTCATTTAAAACAGATTTTAAATATAAAATGTTAAAAAGTTGTTGAGGAAAATTTATGATGAAAAAATTGATAATTCAGCGCCTCTTTAAAAAGAATTACTCAAGTGCCTGATTTAAAATTCTCATGTTCTTAAATAAAAAAATATGGAGTCTTAAATAAAAAATATGGAGATATTTAAAACTATACGGAAAACTGGGCCAAAAACTGCATAAAAAAATTAAGTATTGGCGATTGAAATGGGCTACAGATGGTGTAGAGCAGAACTTTCTTCCGATGGCAACACTTTGCATAGTTTTAACATTAGTGTGTGGAGAGTCATACAAGAAGGAAATATGTCAGTTTCTGTCTTGATTTTCAAATTGTATAAAATATTTTAAACTGGGAAACTATTTGGAATTAAAATCTATATTGAACATAGTTCTAAAAGAAAGTGTTGGGAAAATTTTAAAAAATATTTTTGATAATTAAATACGAAAAATATTAAGAGAGGGGAAAATATCATAGTACATTCCTATACAACTAAAAAAAGGAAAGAGAAGACATGGAACAGATCTTTTTCTTAGATGGCGTACCCGAGCATTACGATTACGAATGAAATCATCATCATCAATGGCTCGACAGCCCAGTGTCAGCTCTGGCCTTCTCAAGAAATTTTTTCTCGGCTAACCCTTTTCCTGCTAGCGTTTTCCAGTTTTTAGTTTCTAAGACCAAAAGGTCTTTTACTAGGCCATCTATTCATCTCAAATGCGGCCTGCCTCTTTTTCGTGTGCCAACTGGTCTGACATTGAAAACATTTTTTGTGGTACAGTTTTTGTCCATTCGGATAGCATAGCCTGCCCATTTTATTCTTTGTCATTTAATAAAGTTAATAATGTCAGATTCATTATATGAGTGATAAATCTCTAAATTTGTTGTGAATGAAATAGTTTAATAAAAAAAAATATCTCAATTCCAAGTAGAAATTTGCGTGTCATCGTATATTGCATTGATTTATCAAAATTTGAAGAAAAAAAACATGTAGAAATTTGTGTGAAAGACTGCTAAAAAAGCATTTAAAAAAACAATGAATTTAGGAGAGAACTAAACACAATTTTTTTTTAATATTTTGATTCCTGCATCTTAGTTTAGATATCTCTGTTGACTTGAAAATCTATTTATTGACATTTCTACTGATGCCAAAGTCCAGACCCTAAAGCAGTCAAATTTTTAAGGTTATGGCTGAAATGCACAAAATTTGAAAGAAAAAGAGATTCTTACTAAGGCATCTAAGACAATCTGTTGAGTTGTATAGGCCCCAGATAAAATCTCCACAACAGTCACACCAAGTTGGATTCTTTAAGCTGGAAATTTGAAATTGGTGTCCAATTCCTCTTTCAGCTGGTTCCAACTCCACAACACCAAAACTTGCTAACTCAATTAATTCTCTGGGTCTCAATGTACCTGCAACATCACCATCTGAATACCTATCCTAAAAAGAACATGAAAAATATATCAACACAAGGTTTTTTAAAAAAAAAATTGTACCTTTGCATGGTTACAAAGGTAATAGATTTCTTTTAAACTCAGGGACATTATAAATGCATGTCACATATCTACATAACAAACAGTTGGCTGATTTAAACAAACTGAAGTAATTTTCCTCCAAAAAATGCATAAATAGAATTGTTTATTTCCAGTAAACATGGTTGCAATTAAATAAAACAGCAGTTGAATTAAATAAAAATTCATTGTTCTTTTTTATTTACTTACTAATTACATTAAAATCGTTTCAACTTTAGATAATATTTAAGGAATAAAATCTATTAATTTAAAGATCAACTGGAATAAAAAAAAACATGAGATATAATTTAATGATTTTTTTTTCATTTAAACATTTTTATTAAAAGGCTGTTATATAAAAAGCATTCAGGCAACAGCCCATTGTGGGCCAGGGGGTCATGAAGGATAAAATTCGACAAATTTGTGATCAACAGCATGATTATGGCAATGTGGTCAGCACTGTGCATAGGCCACCTTTACTTTCCATAAGAGCTCGGTGGGCTTCATGCGCCCACTGAGGAAAAGGTATATGCTAAATAATATTTTTAATAAATATTTATATTAACATTATTGATAAAAGCTAAACAACCTCATTATGATTATGCCCATAACCTATGAATAATGCCATAATATAAACACATATACTATAATTTTGTTCCAATAGTGAAGAACCTTCTTCAATAATAAATACAGAATGTAAAAGGGTAACTCAGAGATACAAATGTTTGTCTCTCTCATTCTGTGTTTGATCAATGAAGAAGGTTCTTCATTAAAAAACCATGACAATAGTATATGTGTTTGGATGACATTATTTGCACTTATTTTTTATAGTTTAGGTTTATTCAATAATAGCAACAAAGTTAACTATTATTGCTTTCATTGACATAGCAAATATTTTGTAACAGGGTGCTAGTCAAATTTTTCAACAAAAAATAAGCACCTTTTAAGTACTTTTCAAGCACTCAAAAAATATTTTTTATCACTTTCCAAAAAAATCAGAATTAGGATCTATGCAGTAATAAAAGTTATTTTTTTCTATGATTTAAAGTTCCTAATTTATAAACATAAAATCAATAAAATTCAAAAACTTTACATAATCACGATATAATAACTAATTTCTGAAAAATATTGAAGAGAAAAATTGAAAAATCCATGCATTTTTTGTAATTTATAACGAAATGGACACGGCATAGAAAAATCTCTTTTTCAAATATAGAAAATAAAGCACATTTTACAGACCCCGAATAAAATAAAGCACCTTTAAGGCTTTTCAAAAATGCAAATCAAAATTAAGCATCTTTAAGTATACTTTTTAAAAACGTTACGCACCCTTGTGTAAGGTAGAGTACATTGAATGATGCAATGATGAAATTCATCCCTTCTCCACAACAAAAAGATTACTATGACAATCTTTTATAAGAAGCATAAACTAAGTAATTGTAGAGTTCAGAGGTAATGATTGAGAAATAAATTATTTATTTAAAAATGAGCTTTAATTGATACTTCTTTATTTAAATTACTGTGATGTGCTCTTTCTCCGTTTCCCTGAGCTCAAGTTACCTTAGACATTTTAATCCACCTAAATATTTTAAATGCTTAAAAGCCAGGCCCAAATAGTTTAATTTTGTATCTATATGAAAATAATTACTTAAAAATTAATTTATGCAAATATTTTATTTCAACAATAGTCTGTTAAACCAATGAACCACTGAAAATTTGGGAAATAGTTTGTATTTCTGATTTCAATATAATTCATAAAGTATGTTATTTTCCTACTTATATCATTATATCGTTAATGTTGTGCCCTAAATAATCATAATTATATTTTTTTATATACATATTTTAAATAGTGTATACAAAGAAACATTAAAATTATCATATATGCAGTAAATCATAAGAAAATTAAATAATCCACAATAATATTCAAAATATCTTATAAATATGTTCTAAAATCAGTGATAGAAAAACCTTTAAAAATAAATATTCAGTGAAAATTTCAAAAAATAATAATAAGATGTATTTTGAAATTTACATAATCAGAATTCAGGCATCTAAATAAATAAATAAATAAATTAATAAATAAAGAAATAAAAATAATAACATTTCTTCAAAAATACAATAACTAACTTTAATAATGCTTTAATTTTTCCCCATTCAAAATTCTTAAAGTTGATTATTTAATTTATAATGATTAAAAAATTTTTTTAAAAGAGTTTTCAATACCTTTTTTTTAACCACATTCATCATAAAAGAAAAGTATAGTGTCATCTGTTAAGCCATATGAAATGCAACAAATCATACATCATCTAATTGAAATTTCATATGTAAATTAGAATCAATAAAAGAAACTTTACCAAAACTCTGTTTTTGATCACTTGGATCTTTAAAGTGAGGAGAAATATAGAGAAATTAAGCTCCATTGTATGTTGTTTGATTAGTGTTGATTTCAAATACGAAGATTCAGAAGAAAAATATCATCTTGCTTTAAGATTAAAGCATCAGACAAGATCCTTTGATAGAAGGTCAATAATAAATAAAACTTGGAGAAAAAAAAATTACAAATAAATAAAGAGGATTTAGGAATTTTTTTAATTTTGTCAACTAGGTTGGAAGGGTCAAACAGACAATTTGAGGCAAAATAATAAATGAAGACTTAAGTAAAATATATGTATTATTATCTGCACCAAAATGGCCACAAAACTTCGGTGACAAGCAGGCAATGCCACAGAAAAAACTTTTTAAAAAAAATAATAATAATAAATAAATAAATAAACACAGAATGGGACATGTTTAAAGAATAAAATTTGCAGATACCAACTGGCAAGGCATTACATACTGTTTACAATTTAAACAGAAGAAACTGAAAAAATAAATAAATATATAAACACAGAATGGGACTACCTTGAAGTATAGCCCCTTCTAGCAAGATATAACATCAGGTTCTTAAATTATTCCAAGCACAAGAACTAACAGCTTGGTACTTTGGAGATTTCAGTTGGCGGCATAAACATGTACCAACACAGAAATATCTCATAGTTTTTAAAAATTATGTTTTTCGTTTAAATGCTTAAAAATTTCAAATTATACTTCATCATACCTTGGATTTGTTTCTTCTGCGAAAAGGATGAGGAAATGCAAAATTTTGGAGAATTCCAGAGGGAGAAAAATTGAGTTTGATACGAACATCCCCATCACTGCCAGATATAGGTCTAGGTTTTCTTCCTCTAATTGGAGTTACTGGAGGAGTATAAGCTCGCCGTATGCTTTTGTAATCAGAGAACATAACAAGTCTTGATTGTTAAGGTGTAATTAGATTTTCATCTTTATTTCTATTTGAAATCTTTAACTGAAATAAACAAAAGAAGTTAGAAAAAATACATCCATATTAAAACGTATCTTAAAAGTACAATAATATTTCGATGACTTGAGGCATGACAGTGCTAACAACTACAAAAAGCTTGAATTCCAAAAAAAATCTATAAATAAACTGAAATAAAGCAATTATACTACTTAAAGCAGCTAAAAATGTTCATTCCTGACTTGTAAAAGAGTTTGCAGAAATATGTAACAATCTTTTTCCAAGCCTTATAGCAATCTGCAACAATACTTTTCAAAGCATTGTAGCAATCGGTAACAATACTTTTTTAAGCATTGTAGTAATGGTAACAATAATTTCCTTAAGCATTGTAGCAATCGAGAACAATACCTTTCTAAGCATTGTAGCAATCGAGAACAATACCTTTCTAAGCATTGTAGCAATCTGTATCTGAAACTGAAATAAAGCAGCTTAAAATGTTCTTCCCTGACTTGTAAAAGAGTTTGCAGAAATATGTATAACAGTCTTTTTCTAAGCCTTATAGCAATCTGCAACAATACTTTTCTAAGCATTATAGCAATCGGTAACAATACTTTTTTAAGCATTGTAGAAATCGAGAACAATATCTTTCTAAGCACTGTAGCAATCTGTATCTGAAATAAAGCAATTACACTACTTAAAGCAGCTTAAAATGTTCTTCCCTGACTTGTAAAAGAGTTTGCAGAAATACGTAACAATCTTTTTCTAAGCCTTATAACAATCTGCAATAATACCTTTTTAAGCATTGTAATAATTTGTAACAATAATACTTTTTTAAGCATTGTAGCAATCGACAACAATACTTTTTTAAGCATTGTAGCAATCGGGAACGATACTTTTCTAAGCATTGTAACAATCTCGAACGATGCTTTTTTAAGCATTGTAGAAATCTATTAGAATACTTTTTTTAAGTGTCACACTTTGATCTATGGGTCATGGTGATAAAACACAGATTATTTTAAAATTTTGTTTTTCCCTTTTTAGATGCAAACTACTATTTTCCATGGTTGGATGGCTTTGCATGACAGGTGTAGTAATTCTTTCACATGTTCTATATGTGTTGGTCATTCTTTGGCTGCTAAACTGATTTTTTTCTAATAACTCAGAATTATAAGAAACTGAAACAACTGAGACTGTAGTTATCGAGACACTACTGTATAATTTGATATATTATACTCATTTTAAAAATTAAATTGTTATAAAATAAAATTCTTGTGTTCAGTTATTTTATAAAATAAAAATTATTTTTCAAAAGTTAAAAAAATAAAAATTAAATTTTATCTTTGAAAATTTAGTACAAAATTCGAATATTTATTTCTATTTTGTAATAATGTAGTCTCATACAAATAATGGCAAAAATATAATGGTAGATTACAAAAGTTATATTTTTTAAACAGATTTTTTTCCTTTAGAAAAACTTATAAGTTTTAAAAACATCAAAATTGATTTATTAAATCCTTTTTTATTAATTTCAACTGGTTTTAAACTTTTTCTGTTTGGTATTTATAATATTTCTAGGTTTTATAACTTAATTATCGTTGACATAGAAAAACATACACTTCAGATATTATATAATTAACTATTAATTTAAACCACACAACTATCCACGCACTTTTATAACGCTTAAAATATAAGTTATACAAAATAATTTAGGAAGAACAATTAGTTTTTTGAAATGTTTAAAATTAAAACGTATATAGAAAGCAAAGGAAAAATTTTAGGACAGCGAAGAGTTATTAGCGAAGCAAAATAACAACTCAACTGTTATGTCATATCCGAATTACAAAATACAAACTTGTGCTAATTTTAAAGATATTATTTAGTATTAAAGGGATATCTAATTTGTGAAAAATATAATAAAATGCGATTGATTTTAACCAAATACATATTCATATTTAAAACACGTATAGGCATAACAGATGATACGGTTGGCCAAAGACATATTTTGAACTTTTGTCACATAAGCATTCATCTTAAGTCTTTTTTTACTATGTTAAAGCAAACTTCAAAATAAATTATACTTGTAAGGAAAATATGAAAAAGTTACCCTTTTACAACAAGGATAGCTAAAATAGATGTTCTTTGAAAACTACTGTGTACAAAATAAAACTTTTAAAATTAAATGCACAATTGATTTAATTTTACCTGTAGTTCGACGCACTTTTAGTTAAATTAACGCAACATTAGCGAAACGAAACAAAAATATTTTTTATTTGTTGTCTTTTCTATTTTTATCCAACCGAGTTGAGTTGTAATTCAGTGATATTTTTAAACGGAATAAACTCAAGTTCAGAAATCTGGTTCGTAAAATTAAGAAATACAACAGTAAAAAGTCAAAAAGATTTAGTGCGAATTTCCTCCACCGAGTATATTAAAGTTTTTAAATGAACTGAAGCGAGTTCATTGAAAAGCTAAAATATAAACAAACAAAGTGCGATTTATGAAACTTCAGTTTTATATTTCATCAGCGATTTACCGTAATAAAAAATAAATTATCAATTAATGAACTAACTAAGAAATTCATCATGAGTAAATTGTGTCAAAATTTTCTGCGCATTGTTTCAATATCCAAACGAAATTTAAAACTACACGCTTCTCTCCCGATCTTTTATTTCCACGTTAGCAAAACCTCACCTAAACTTTCCTCTAGTCTAAACCATTTACGTTTTTATCGTACAACACCAGTTTTTTATTCATCTTCCCTGAAAGAAGAAAAAGATAACGAAAGCTCTGATGAAAAGCAACACGATGAATCGGAGGATAAGGTCATAAAATACGCCGAACTCAACACCGATGTCGAATCTAAGAAGAAAATCCTTCTTATATTAATGGAACACGAAGTTGCTAAACTAGAAGGACGTAAAGTTCCTTCAAAAATATCAGTAGAAGACATGAGAGAACTCCTGAACATGTATTCGTTTTCATCTAGAGTTAAGTATATGGGTTTTTTGTATGAAAGAGAAGCTAGAAAAAAGTATGACATCTCAAAAAGAGAAAGGAAAAAGAAAGAAAGGGAAGAGTGGTTGATCGAAAAAGAAACGATCGTACCTCCTGAGCATATACAATATGGAATCGGGCACAACACGATGATTGTGCGAGTCAGGCGTAAAAGTTTCATGCATTTCTATAATCAGCGACTTTCAAATGCAGTTGTGCATGGACAAAAGTTTATTGTAGATATGGATTATGATTGCTTCATGCGCAAAATGGATTGTAACAATTGTGGGGAGCAACTCCTTGAACTGTATGGGGTTAACCGTAGAAACCCATATCCGTATGACTTGTTTTTCTGTAATGTTGATCATAACAGCTCTACTATGTCTGCATTCAGCAGATACATGCCTAATTTGTATGCTCCTGATAACTTCATCACTTTAACTGATTTGAGTTATACTGATATTTTTCCTAAGGAAAAGTTGGTTTATATTACGCCTTATGCCAAGGAACCAATGAAAACTTATGATCACAATGCCGTGTACATCATTGGTAAAAAAAAAAAAATTATATTTTCATATTATATTGTACTTTAATATCATTTATTTATTTAACTAAGTTTTATGAAATTTATTTCTATTTATAATTAAANCCTTATGCCAAGGAACCAATGAAAACTTATGATCACAATGCTGTGTACATCATTGGTAAAAAAAAAATTTATATTTTCATATGATATTGTACTTTTATATCATTTATTTATTTAACTAAGTTGTATGAGATTTATTTCTATTTATAATTTAAAAAATTGACTATAACTATAATGTTCCTAATACCCTAAAATTGAAAAAAAGTATTTATTTTAGCATACAGGAGAACCTAGAAATTTAATTGTTTACATCATTTAGCATCAGTTGGATGATTTTCAATAATGCTTCTAATACTTAAAGGGAACTTGTTAATTTCCTCTGGCAATTCCAATTTATAATTAAAAAATTTACTCGAACTATAATGCTCCTAATACCCAAAAATTGAAAAAAGTATAATTGTTTACATCATTTAACATGAGTTGGATAATTTTAAATAATGCTTACAGAGAACTTGTTACTTTGCTGTTTTTACCTCTGGTATTTCTATTTATAATTTAAAAAATTGACTGGAACTATAATGGTCGCTATACCCCAAAATTGAAAAAAGTATTTATGCATACAGGAGAACCTATAAATTAAATTGTTTGCATCATTTAGCATCAGTTGTATAATTTTCAACAATGCTTCTAAAACTTAAAGAGAACTTAATAGGTACTTTCCTATGGTACTTCTATTTATAATTAAAAAATTGACCAGAACTATAATGCTCGCTATACCCAAAAATTGAAAAAAGTATTTATGCATACAGGAGAACCTATAAATTTAATTGTTTACATCATTTAGCATCAGTTGGATAACTTTCAATAATGGTTCTAATATTTATAGAGAACTTGTTACTTTGCATACAGGGGAACCTATAAATTGAATTGTTTACATCATTTAGCATCAGTTGTATATAATTGTCAACAATGCTTCTAATACTTAAAGAGAACTTACTTTCCTATGGTACTTCTATTTATAATTAAAAAATTGACCGGAACTATAATGCTCCTAATACCCAAAAATTTAAAAAAGTATTTTTTATGCATACAGAAGAACCTATAAATTTAATTGTTTACATCATTTAGCATCAGTTGGATAATTTTCAATAATGCTTCTAATACTTACAGAGAACCTGTTTTTTTTTTTTTTTTAACCTGTTTAAAATATTTGAAATTTTCACTTGTAAAAAGGAAAGTTGAATCGAATTGACCATTATGTATTTGAGTTAAGTATAACCTTCAATTAAGATAAAAATTAGTTAAAAAATTTAAAGCATGTTACGTGCCAAATGATAAATTCTTGTAAAAAGAATTTAACATGTTATAAACAACAATTAAACAAGTAATGTGAAAAAACATAGTTGAAATTTGGGGCTAAGTTACCCAGTTTAAAAATTATGACAAAAAATTTACGTTAAATGGACTATAATAAATGTATTTTTTTCTTTGTATAGAATTATGAACTGTTGTACACTAACAGAAATAGTTTTAGATCATTTGCATTATCTGATGATATCTCACAGTTTGATCTAATATTATCACTATATTTCAGGTGGTCTGGTAGATAAATGCATTAAAGAACCTGTAGTTCTGGCTAAGGCTAAAAGAGAACAAATTAAAGCTGTGCATCTACCATATGATGAATATTTAATGTAAGTATTCAGTAAAAAATCATTAGTGTCATACTTTCAAAATGTAGAATTGAAAAAGTATTTTAAATCTTTTTTTATAAGTAGAAATTTTTAAAAAAATAAAAAAATAAAAAAACTTTGTTAGTTGTTGTAGGAACATTGAATTGTATGGCGCTTTGCCAACTGATCAAAATTATCATTAAAATAGTTTATAAGTAATGCTATTTTGACTTGACTACAATATTATAAAAAATAGGTTGAAGGGGAAGGAAACTGAAGAGAAGTTATATTCATTAAACATAAGTATTTTGGATTGATTATAATAATTTCAAGGTTATACCTATAATGGAACACGCTGAACTGATATTAAACAAGTGTGATGTTATAAATCTGGATATAAATTGAATTTATAATTTTCTAAATTTAAGTTTAAGCATAAAGCTTATTGATTTGAATTATTATTTATTTTTTATTCAAGTGTATTATAAAGCTTATAAAAATGTGATAGCTTTATGAATTTTGTTTTTATTTATTATACTTTTTTATTATTACAAAGCAATAGTACTAAGACTCCCATCTATTAACTACAAAACATTAAACTAAATAAGTTTTCGAAAACTGGGAATAAAACTAAAGTCTATGGCAAAAATTAATTGGGCTGTTGTCCATTCTTTTCCAGATCTATAACATCTTAGTGTCTTTTAGAAATAAGTATCTTGATAGTGTGGGGGTACTTTACTAAGTGTTATGCATCCAAGATCTCTTTCCCTCTCTCCACTAATATTGCAGTTCATAAAATCAAGGCATTGATTTTTCCTACTTAGGGGTGATCACCCAGTAGGCTTGTCCCGACTTAGCCTAATTGGGGTCCGGGGCAATAACTTCTTTGGGGGCCCTCTTCTGCTTCACTACTTCTGTAATGAAGAATTGAATTTTATGGAGATATTTAATTTTTTCACCTCATCATACATATATAACAAGAAAATTGACTGGAACCTAAAATAGCTATTAAGTCCTTCCCCTCCAATGGTCAGACAAAATATCGTTCTGTCCATTTTATTGACTTTCTGACAATTGTACGTTCATCATGCCGAATGCAGTTTTCTGATTGTTAACTTTGTCATCTAGTTGCGAAGAATTCATATCCTTGCGGACATTAGGGCAGAATTCAGCTAAATTTTCACAATTACGATGGCTCACTTAAGCAAACCAGAAGTCTGTATTTTTGTAAACATATCATATTTTGCGATATGTAAAAGTGTTGCAATGTACGGGCTTTTCATTGGCCATCCATCCATTGTAATAATGAAAATTTAGCTGAATTCCGCACTAGAAAGCCATGGATTTACAAAATACAGATTTTTTGTGTTCATACGATAGATTAATGAAGAAGCTAACATAAAACTGACGGATTTTACACTGTACTGATATTTTTTTTTTAAAAAAGTTCATTAAAGAAAGAAACCTAAAATGAACTTTTAATTCGATTTGGAACCCCCTCTGATGTGGGGCCCGGGGAAACTGCCCCGTATGCCCCTGCCTTTGTCAGGCTGTGTGATCACCCTAAAGGGGGCAATACAGCTCCTCGACAAGGCAGTAGTCCTCAGGTGTGGGATTAGTATTCAAAGGGAAAAAAATTTTATTAATAATAATCCCAACAGTGGCTGATCAATACGAATTCCGCATCTGGCTTGCACCGATCACAGTGCTGACGTGAAATATCCTCATCCTCAGTGGTAGGCAGTCCCCTTGCAGTCAGGTTAACCGTGGGAGGTTCTCATGCTCTTCCTCTCCATGTAATGCAGATGCAGGTTAGTTCCATCAAATAGTCCTCCAGGAAGGCAAATTTCTCCCAATACTTGATCCCAGAGTTTACTTGTCTTCTGGATTAGGTTCAAAATTACAAGGTTACAGAGTTGAACATTAGTTGTCGTAAACCCAAAAACTGGGTCAGCTGTTCAAAGACAGTTATAAAATAAAAATTAATAATAATAATAAAAGCCAGCAAATCGCTCCTCATCTGAGTCCCGTCAACATATTTAGCAAAAAGAAGATTTAGTTAGGTTGTCCAGCTTCTCACAAAACAAAGAAGTAGGTTGGAGATTTGCATCTAAGGAGACCTATACTTTAATCTGACGAACAAATTACCTGATATTCAAGCTTTAACTAAAATCCACCAGCACAAGACAGTCTCTTGAAAATGTAAAAATGAATAATTGAATTTTCGCATTTTAGTTGTCAATGTTTTCAATTTTTCCAGATTAAATTACAAAATAAATTTAAATATATATACTCTTGTTTCCATTTTAGCGCTTCAAATATCACCTCTTTTTGAAAGAAAAAAAAGTGAAAGTGATGTACATTTTTTTAATTTCATTTTCTACAGTGACTGGATAAAATTGTTCATTATTTACATTTGAATTTAAATTAAAATCAGGTATAATTTAGCATATATTCAAATTTATTGATGCTCACTTGCATCAATGTATTGTGTTTATCTTTTTCAATCAAGTAGAAAAAAGGGGTGATAATTGTCAATCAATTTCTAGAGGGGGGCACAGAGATGCCAACTGCCCCAGACACGCCAAAATAATTTTAAAAAAACGGTAAATAACTACAAAGTATATATTTAACAATTTTTGCTTGCTTTTTAAAAGGTATAGCATGACTAAAGTACTATAAAGTGGTGCATTGTATAAGCCTACAAATCATTTAGAAATAGTGGTGGATAAAAATCTACTAAATTGAATTTATTAAACTAAGAATCACAATTGATAAACTACCACTTTAAAATGTATATTTGCTCTCCAAAGCAAGTTGGCATCTCTGGGGGCAGTGGGCAACAAACGGTTGGGATCTACTGACTTAAATTGAAATTTAAGTACTTCCTTGTAGGCGAGGCTTCCATCTAGGCGAGGAAAATATTTCATTAATTTATTGTTTAAAACTAATTAAAATGTTAGGAACAGGGGGGAGTTGAAGAGTTTGAATATTTAAATACAGTTGTGGTGTCCATTTGGCTTAATTATTAATCAAGTTTATTATATGTTGTACTATGTAATTTCGAAAAGTAACCAAGCTGGTCGCCACAGGCTGCAAGTTTATCTATAAAATACAAAACTGATTATTGAAAAATTAGAATTTTGCAACAGTTATATTACAGTACAGAACCCGTTATCCGGAAATCAAAAAACCGGAACAAAATTCGATAAATTTTCTTGCCATTTTTAAAAAAAAAAATTTTTTTTTCCTTGTAAGATTTTACGATTTTTCTTTCTTTTTTTAAAGAGGTTTACCTTACCATCCTTTTGGAAATAATCATTAGTGTATTACTTCATCGTTTTTTCTTATTTTTAAGATTATTTCCAATTTTTTTTTTAGTTGGGTTTAACAATAAAAAAACGGCTTTTTGTAGCGAGTCAGAAAACCGGAAAAATCAGTTATCCGGAATAGCGATGGTCCCGACCGTTCCGGATAATCGGTTCCTTACTCTATTACCATAATTTCAATTATTAATTATAAATCTCCTTAATTTATACCTTTGTTCTAAATGTTTGTTATAAAATTAATTGTGATATGTTTCTTATAGTTTTGCAATGTAATGTTTTTAGGTGGGGTAGAGGAAACAAGANTTTTAGGAAATAATCTTGAAAAGAAGAAAAAACGATGAAGTAATACACTAATGATTATTTCCAAAATGATGGTAAGGTGAACATCTTTCAAAAAAGAAAGAAAAATCCTAAAATCTTATAAGGAAAAAAAAATTTTGTTTAAAAAATGGCGGGAAAATTTATCGAATTTCGTTCCGGTTTTTTGGTTTTCCGGTTTTCTGATTTCCGGATAACGGGTTCTGTACAGTACATTACAATACTACTAATAAATCTACATTTTCACAATAGAATTATCAATACATTAGACCTTCTTTATGTTGTAGTTTAGGTTAAAAAATAAATTGCAATGTAAGGTCATTCAAAACTAAATTGCGCAAGGGTTGTAAACCACAATTATCAGGTTTTAATGAAATTTGCTGAGCTTTATACAACATTAAAGGACTTGCAGAAATAAAATAAGCTCCTAAAGATACCTAAATTTTAGGAGAGATACCTATATTTTTTTGGAGAATCATATTGTTATATGGTAGTACTTCTGTAAACTGCCTATCTGAAATATACTTGGAAGCATTTTGATGTAATAACATCACTTTTGGAAAAAGTGTTGCTTATCATTATATTACTCTTGCCCTATAAACGTTTTTTTTTTTTTTAACTATTTACAATTTTTGATCTATAAAAAGCACCTTTTGCTAATTTATTGAAAGCTGAGTAAATATGCAACTTGAATTTGTTACTAATTGAAACTGTTAAATTGTTGAAATGTTTTAATGTAAAAATATCACTAAATGTACTTCTGTTTCGATAGAATATTTCCCTTTCTCAAATACTTTTGTTTGGAATTATTGAGAAAAATTTTAATCAAGAAACAACCAACATTAAAAATGCCTCAAATCTGAAATACACATTTTTACTATGGATGCAACGAATATTCAGCCAAAAAAATCGGTCAAATAGATTTTTTTTTAAATCATTAATAAATATTTTTTATATATAAATAAGTATAGTCATTATCAAAAAGTAAACATAACTTAGCTATATTATTAGTATGAGGTAAAGGAAGAAAAAAACTATAATAGGATACTTCAACTTGATCGGGTCCCGCAGTGGACTGATCGTTAAGACGCGGTTTCCAGCAGATCACCGGCTGCGGTCTTGTGCGGGTGGGTGATCACTTGCATCAGTCTGCGTAGGGACCGAGGGTGTGCGGTATTGGTCCTTGTTAAACTGTTCGACCGTAAAGTGCTCGATTTCGCGTGCAGGTCGTCGGGCTACCGAAGCGGGGGTGCCTCCCCTCTGCAGAGGATCAAAATTGTGATGGCATGTCTTCGGATCATCCTCAGGGATGTTTCCCAGGCCGTCGCCAATAGCCCATTGTGCAGCTCTAGTGCGACGTAAATGAACTACAACAACAATCAACGTGATCGGAGAAACTAACAACTGAGCACCCAGCTCTTGGGTCAAGAAATCGAACACAAGACCAAACAGCAGAGGAGTAAGACTTTCAACTAACCTAGCGGCTCACAGCTCAAGGCCTTTAATTTAGGCCCACTCAGTGCCTGGTTGTGTTTAGTTGACTTTTATAATGACTACGAGACTCGAAGGGTTGAGGGGCATATTCCTTCCACCATACACTATGAAACATAGAGGTAAGGGGTTCGAATCAAGCCGTAACGACGTATCCTTGTGTTATGCTTCTCAAAATGGGATATCACTTCCTTAATTTGAAAAAAAGATTGCATGCAGTTTTTGTATTATTTTTTTTTTTAACTGCCGTTGAACAACCGACCCAATTCTGAGTTTACGACTATCGATATCAATGTTCAACTCCATACCCTTGGAATTTTGAACCTTACCTAGAAGATAAGAAAACTCCTGGATAAAGCAATGGGACAAACCAACTTCAAGGGAAGGCTTTTTGATGGAAGTAACTCGTGTTTGCGTTACATGGTGAGAAAACCACGAAAACGTCTCAGGATTTTTATCCCTGCGGCAAGGGGACGATCCATCTACCACTAGGGATTTTTTAAGTCAGCACAATGATTAATACGAGAATGAGTATGCAAAATAATACATCAAAAATCTACACTATATCCTAAAGCTTCAGCTCTTCATTACTATCGGCATGTGTCTGCGAACCCTTGATACGATGCATTACCGTGGAGAAAATGTGAAGGTTTCGTGACACAAATTAAGTTGGAGCTCATAAGATAAAAACTGAATGCATTAAACATATTATCTTAATATTGAGCCATACTCTGATACATAGCGAATTAGGGCGAAAGAAGAAGAATAGAATACATAGCGAAAATTGCACCGTTTATAAATCTAAACGGATTGATAAAAATAATCTATCCAAAAAATTAATCGCATTTATCAAATAAATTAATTTGGAACTAATAGATGGAAACCAGTTCCTAAAGAGGACAGACCTTGGGTATTGCATTTGGCTATACCCTATATCTGTCATTCAGCTTGTATGTGCTAATCTTCTTTCTGAACACGAACTTGCGACCTTCTGTACCCTGTGCCGGGGCTTGATTTCTCCTCACATCATGACCTAATGACTGGTGTGAATACTGATATGAAATTATTTTTACTTCATCTAAGCCTTTTTCATACTATTCGCTTGAGCCGCGATGGCTCAAGGGATAGAGCATTCGCCTTCCAGTGAGGTGAATCGGGTTCGAATCACAGCGATGGCTGGTAAATACAAATCCGCATCCGGCTTGCACCGACCACAGTGCTGACGTGAAACATTTGCAGTGGTAGACGGATCATGGGTTGGAGTTCCCTGGCCGTCAGGCTAACCATGGGAGCTCTCGTGGTTTTCATCTCATGTAACGCAAATGCGGGTTAGTTCCATCAAAAAGTCTTCCACAAAGACAAGATATCTCCAGATACTTGATCCAGGAGTTCCCTTGTCTTCTGGATTGGCTTCAGAATTACAAAGCTACGGAGTTGAACATTAGTAGTCGTAAACCCAAAATTTGGGTCAGCTGTTCAACGACGGTTATAAAATATAATATTCTCTTGCAAATAACGGCCTTGGTGAACTTTTTAGCTCCATGGGAGGAGGCAACTGGAGTCATTAGTGCAGGAGTCAAACACAACCACTGGGTATACTTTAAAGAGTAGTGTAGATGGCACGGTGTTAATTTTTCTTAACTATCCTTATGTTATCACAGGTTTAACTTCTTACGAACGAACTTATAGCGTAACACCTATTGTAGTATTAAGACCAGTATATTCCAACTAGAAATCTGGCCTCAAGAAGCTCGAGGTGCCCATTGCCAAGGATATGTTGTTGTTGTTGTTAATTTACGTCGCACTAGAGCTACACAATGGGCTATTGGCGACGGTCTGGGAAACATCCCGGAGGATGATCCGAAGACATGCCATCACAATTTTGATCCTCTGCGGAGGGGATGGCACCCCCGCTTCGGTAGCCCGACGACCTGCGCGCGAAGTCGAGCACTTTACGGTAGCACAGTTTAACGAGGACCAATACCGCACACCCTCGGTCCCTACGCAGACTGATCCAAGTGGTCACCCACCCGCACACTGACCGCAGCCAGTGATGCTTGACTTCGGTGATCTGCTGGGAACCGTGTCTTAACGATCAGTCCACCACTTTACGGTAGAACAGCTCAACGAGGATCGATACCGCACACCCTCGGTCCCTACGCACACTGATCCAAGTGGTCACCCACCCGCACACTGACCGCAGCCAGTGATGCTTGACTTCGGTGATCTGCTGGGAATCGTGTCTTAACGATCAGTCCACTGCGGGACTGCCAAGGATATCAAAAGCTGATGTTAGTAACTAAGATAAAGAAGAAGAAAAAGATTTATTTGAAAGTTGGTTAAGATATTGTTTTCCTTGATCTGTGTGCTTCACTTCTCAGATTTTAAACAGTTGAATAATAATGGCAAATGCTGATGTTGAAGATCCTCATAGACAGTGCTTGAAAGATCTTTCTCCAAGCTTAAGATCTACTGCTGAGTTTTTGTTAGATTCAGCCAACAGACTGAATTGGGGTGATCTCAGCCACTCGATTATAATGGATATGGGTTGTGGAGTGAGTTCCCTTGAGATATTTAAGACAGTCTTCCCTAAATTTCATAAAGTAATAGCGGTAGACAAATCCTTTAATTTCATAAATTACCTTAAATTCTATCGAAAGCATGGAAATATGGAATATCGTGTTGCTGACATCACTAACAGGTAAGATTTTTTTTAAGCATAGAATGAGGCTTATAATAATATTTAATTCTTCTTCATGATTAACAAACAGTTCCTCGTTTGTTAATCTCTATTTTACTCTTCAAGTAAAGATTGGTGTTTGCACTTCTTTTGTCAAAAATTAAATTTTAATTAATCAAATCCTCATTAAATCAAATTTTATATGGATTAATTAATGGTTATATACATGCACTAATTTTATAATTAGTTCTATAATTATAGCAAAAAAAAGGTGATCCTTACCTTGCATACTAGAAAAATTACGATCGAAGGTATTTTTTGACGAAAAGCTTTATGTTACCATATAAATTATAACTGAAAACTTCTCTACTCTTTTTCTGTACTCAACCCCCTTTTTTTGAGGGAGGTGGTGGTGATTAGTGAGTTGGGGTAAAAATACAATTTGTACGATTTCTTCGCGTATGTGGATATAATGCGAATGTTCTCTTTCGAGCAAAAACTATACTGCACTTTATAACTATGATTTTTTTTTTATATTTTATAACTTTATGCTAAACTCGAGCACTTTAAACTGTAGTGTGTTTGAATGCTCAAAAAATTAGAAATGTGCACTTAGGAAAAATAAAACTTCGAGGTTTGGATTGTCTCAGAAAATTGAATTTTTAGCATTGAATTCAACATAAAGTTTTATTTCAACTGCCAGGATAATACTTTAATTTAAGCCTTTTTTATGACAGTACTAATTTTCCTTCCTCTTTTCTTTGATCTTTATACATTTTACAACTTGGTGGAAAAATAAAAAAAAACTTGTTGTGCTTCTGAACACTGAAATTTAGAACTGGGCACTTAATAAAAAAAATCTATGAACTGTTAGTATTTTCAAATAAATATGTATATCTATAGTATATTCTCGATATCTCGAACTTCGATATTTCGAAAACATTGTAATGCCAAAAAATATTTTTTTCCCCTTTGCAATATATATTCACCTAATGTTAATTTGAATTTCTATGTCGAAACTTTATGTCAAAACTTTGTCAAAATTTTTTTCGAAATGGAAAATGAATTTTTTTGTTTTTTTTTTGGAAAAGTCACTATGTAAGTTTATTGCAAACCAATGCTTTTCTACATAATGGATAATTATTTCGGTCTTCTTTTTAAAATTAAATTATAATTGTCGTATTTAGAGTTGCAGTCAACTATCATTACATACTGATTTATTAGTAGTCATTCATATGTTTCAGGACTCTATTTTTTAGAGCAATATTTTAGAACATTTTTTTCTACTTTTTAGAACATATTTAGTACATAAATTAATATATAATGTGGATTATTGGTTGGATACAAATCTAATTATTACTGGTTATAAAAAATATAATCTCTTAAGCTCATATATTAGTAATAGTAGTATAAGCGATATAAATAGATATAAGTCCATATATAAGTGACATATATATTGATTAAAATAGACAAATGCATGTTAAAAATTTAGTAATTTCTTTAATAGATGCCATTCAAAATCATGAAGAAAAAAACATTTAAGAAATAGTGCATTAAAAATTTTGGTATTTCGCCATTTTGGATGTCTACTATTGTTATGAACTAAATCTGAGATAGCCTCTTATTCAAAATTAAGTCTTAATACGTATGCTACATGTGTACCAAGTTTTATGCGTCTATCATTAAAGGCGCGATTCATTCATGAATCTTGTAGTGTGTCTACCACTACAAAAATACAATTCCTATACACTAATATATAAAACATATAAAATTAATTTCATGATGGTGTACCTTTTCATAGATGAAGGTTGACATTGTCTGAAACTTCTCACCACATATTGGTGACCCGGATGTGATGTGAACACGCCTACCTTGACAGAAACCTCCACTTCGATTTGCACGCTTACTTCGATGGATTTCTTACTGAACAATTGACTTGCTACTTGTGACTGCGACATCCTCATCCTGTCGCCGTTGCTACTCGGTCAAAATCACAAACAACGTCGACCTACTTATATACATACACTACTAATATACTTACTTATATACACTCTACTGCTAATTGCAACACTCCTTCGGCTACAACCGTGAACTTAATACAGCTCTCACATTCAGCATTTAAAAAGAGTGAACTTTACACACTTCTCACGGTCAGCAGTACGGTGATCTTAATACAGCTCTCCCGGCCTCTCACAAAGCAGCAATGAATCAATAGCGGTATCCGTTCATCGAATTCTATCACAGATATAATTCTGGTCTGGGGAATACTGTAGTGAGTCTACCACTACAAAAATACAATTACAATTCACTAGTATATAACGCATGTTAACTCGATTCTAGGTTGCATACCTGCCAACTTTTAATCCCTTCCATTATCATTTTTCCCAGTGGTATTAAAATGGAATTAAGACTTCAATTTTTAGCAAACAAATACGTTGTATTTGAGAAAACTTAAGATGACAACCATCATACCTGCCAATTCTTCCGGATTTTCCGGAAGATTTTTTTTTCATATTTAAAGTGGTAGTAAATATATACTATTTTTTCTTTTATAAACATAATTTTTAAATGATTTTGATCACCACTATTCTTACAAAAATTAAGCACATATATTAATATGCGTTACTATCATGGTTGTCAACTAAAGTTTTTTCAAATGCAACGTATTTGTTTGCTTAAAATTGAAGTTTTAATTCCATTTTAATACCACTGGGAAAAATGATAATGGAAGGGATTAAAAGTTGGCAGGTATGCAACCATGATAGTAACGCATATTAATATATGTGCTTTATTTTTGTAAGAATAGTGGTGATAAACTCATTTTAAAATTATGTTTATAAAAGAAAAAATAGTATATAATAACTACCACTTTAAATATGAAAATAAAATCTTCCGGAAGAGTTGGCAGGTATGAGGTTGGGGTAAACTAATATAGATGAAGGTTGACGTAGTCGATGACTACAAACACCATATATCTCACCAATATGGAGTACAAATATGCTTCAGAAATAAATGTTTCTTTGCACTGCTTAATAGCTTATAAAAAAATTTACTTTTTATTTGGTGCACTGATTGTTTCATAATCTAGCAGCGTTACTCCTTTGTGTAAAAACTAAACTATTTCTTTCAGATCAACTTTAATTGAGTGGGAGGCTAAGATGTCCAAAATTGTTTCCTTTTACTGTTTTAACTGTTTGACTGATCAGAAGTCAGGTTTTGCTAATATTCATTACTTGCTCCAACCAGGAGGAGAGGCCATTATCCTTACTGCCCTAAAAAATCCTCATTTTGAATGTGCAAGATTCCTACTGCAGAAGCCTAAATGGAGCATGTATCAGGTAAAATTATGTTAATTATGCATAAATGATTAAACCTTGAATAATTTACGAGGTGGATTTGGCGATGTTTGGGAAAGTGATAAAGCTTGGAATTTGTTACTGTTGATTTAGATAGATATTAATTTTTCCAAATAGTTTAGTTTCAGTTTTGCTCTTTTAGCGCTTCTTCCCGGTGTAAATTTGGCTAGAGGTCTTAACAAATGAATCAAATTTTAAACGTGTAACTTATTTTTAAAATTTGATGACTTAGAGGCAGGGCCTGATTATAGCCTAGGCCCAATAGGCATGGATCTAGGCAACACCTCCTAGAAAAGAGTAGGCCTCTGCACGGGTTACCATAAATATCCTTTAAGTCCAAACGTAATGACATATTTCGTATTTTCAACCACTGCGCAGCTTAGTACCCCGAACGTAATGACATCTTTCTTATTTTTCATCTACTGCGCAGTTAACTTCGTCACATCGGACTACTAAATTAATCCGTGCTGAGGCCTTCCTTATTCTAGGAGGTGTTGATCTAGGCCCACAATTTCTGACGGGCCTCAAAAATTAGTAAAATGTCTAATGAAAGGTGGGCTAGCTATGTGTTGGTTTAAGGACTAAATAAAAAATAATTACAGTTTACAATAAAAAATAATTCAGCTAATCAGTGACTTTTAGCAGAAATCGCTGGTTTCAATTGTTTGTGGTCACCATACTATTTTTATTTTGACATAACACTGTTTTGTTGTTTTACATTTCGCTTTAATTTATAGATATGTAAACTTTATCTTAGAAAAATAATCTTCAATCGCCTGCTTTCGAGATTTATTAGAATGTTTCTCTTCTTTTCAATGGAATCTTTTTCATTATTAGCACTACTCTTCAGTAATTTAATTTAAACATATTTTATAAGGGGCCCAGAAAATTATGTGGGCCTTGGGCCAGAATTTGTCTTGATCGGTCACTGCTTAGAGGTCGAATTCGTTTGAATTTTGTATTTTGCCCTTTAAAACAATACACATTTTAAAACGATATAAAAATGTGTATGCCTTACAATTCAGAAGTTTTCGATGATTAAACAAAATTATAAACAATAATATATTATTAAAAGTTATTTTTTACACCGAGTTATATTCGGATAAACGAATTTCATATTTGTGTGCAAAAATATTCTTTAATTCGTTAACGTAACCATAAATTCTCAAGATATGGCAAAACGCACGAAAGTGAATTTTACCTTAAGTTTCTAAACCTTCGATGGTTTTTCTACCCTAAATATTGGTATCCAGAATGTGGTTTCTCCTATATTTTGCGATTCAAAAATCCAAATTTGTCAGCAAGAAAAATTAAATAAAAAACATGGTATGTACGTCTAAAGAATGTTGTCAGATTTCGTGACTTAAAATATTGCTTGCACTATTTAACAGGAATATTTTATATTAAAATCTGTAAGTATTAAATGAGTCCTAATAACAGAGATGCCAACTTGCTCCGGACAGCAAATATATATTTTAAAGTGGTAGGGTAAGCTAACCAGTGAAGGAACACTTAAGCTTCGCTTGCCTCTTAAAAAATCATATTAATTTCAAAATTCGTAATTTTAGTTAAATGACAGTGTCAACATATTTGTTACTAGTTGCAAATTATGTAAAAAAAATTGTAGAGAACTTACATAATTTTGTTTTAAAGTTTTGGAGGTTCAAATAACAAGTAGTAAGAAGACCCAGTGAAGGAACAGCTCTTACCAGTGAAGGAACACAAAATTGCCCAGTAAAGGAACACTTAATTTTGGTTATATTTTAATGCTCTTTATGAATTCATTAGCCATACAAATATATAAAAACAAGACTATTTATGAAATTATAACAACAAGTACTTGTAAAATGCTAACTTTATTCGGTAATCATGAACTAGAAATTGAAGTGATGTTAAATACAAAATAAATTTTAAAAAATCACTCTTTCTTATAATTTGACAGTCAAATCTTAATCATTGTGTCATCCGATGCTGTTTATTNCGCGAAGTCGAGCACTTTACGGTAGAACAGTTTTACGAGGACCAATACCGCACACCCTCGGTCCCTACGCAGACTCATCCAAGTGGTCACCCACCCGCACACTGACCGCAGCCAGTGATGCTTGACTTCGGTGATCTACTGGGAGCCGTGTCTTAACGATCAGTCCACTGCGGGACCCTTCAACTTTGAGGTATTGAAAGTATACTAACTGTATTTAGAATTTCATACAGAGAAGCCAAATATATAATTAGAATCTTGTTCAGAGAATAGTTTTATGTTCTGTTTATTCTAAATTTCAGTCTTCAAAAAAGTATACAAACCTAGACGAAAGTAACGTAACCAATGTACGAATGAAACGAGCTCGGATTGCGAAGCAAACCTTAGGAAACGCGAATGTGTGACATTTTCTTCAAAACACATTATTGTTAGTAAAAAATATAATTTAAAAATTTTATTACATTTTATATTCATTGGCAATTCATAGGTAATTTCATATAAGCATCCAAAATACTAACAATCAAACACAATCAATAATGCGAAATATTGATTGGATATAAGTATTACTGGTTATAAAAAATCTTAACTCTCAGAACGCTTGTGATTTTTTTACAGAATCACAGGGTTTCACGGAACACTTTTAGAATTTGATTTAAAAAAATTTATAAATGATGAATTATACCATTAATGAAACATGACATATATTACTAAAAATAAAATAATCCAAATACTTTTAACCTTTTGTGTACGGATGGAACAGCATGTGGACTACGTGTCATGGCACAATATGGAACGCCGTAAACAAAAGGTTAATGTGACAATCAGTTTATCACCAAGGAACCAAAACGATTGAGACGTGGGGAGGATCAATTAGCGAAACGAGCTGGTGATATATATTCATGTATATTGTCATAAGTGATATATTAATTGAAGTAGATAAATTCAGTATAAGTGGCGGAAATATAAGTTCATATATAAGTAACATACAGGTACATATTGATTAAAATAGATAAATACATGTAGTCATTTCTTTAGTAGATGCCGTTCATAACTGTCGAAAATATTTAAAAAATAGTGCATCAAAAGTTTTCAGATTTCGCCATTTTGAAAGTCTGCTATTGTTATGGGCTAATTCTGAAATAGCCTCTTATTCAAAATTAAGTCTTCATATGTCTGCTACACGTGTACGAAGTTTTATGCTTCTAGCATTGAAGGTTCATTCACGTATCTCACCAATATGTCGTACTAAAATGTTTCTTTGCAATGCATAATAGCTTATAAAAAAATTTAATTTTAATTTGGTACACAAATTGTATCATAATCTAGCAGCGTTTCTCCTTTGTGTAAAAACTAAACTATTTCTTTCAGATCAACTTTAATTGAGTGGGAGGCTAAGATGTCCAAAATTGTTTCCTTTTACTGTTTTAACTGTTTGACTGATCAGAAGTCAGGTTTTGCTAATATCCATTACTTGCTGCAACCAGGAGGAGAGGCCATTATCCTTACTGCCCTAAAAAATCCTCATTTTGAATGCGCAAAATACCTGCTGCAAAAGCCTAAATGGAGCATGTATCAGGTAAAATTATATTATAATTATGCATAAATGATTAATCTTAGAATACGTTGCGAGGTGGATTTGGCGACATTGGCGGTGATTGGGAAAACAATATGGTGTGGAATTTTCTGTTGTAGATTTAGCTAGACATTTAGTTTTTAAAATAGTTTAGTTTCAATTTTATTTGTACACATTGTCCATCTGTTGTATAGATTGGGAAATAAGCATGATTCTGGTCAATAGGAAATAAATAGCTTTAATATTTATGGCGCGTTATTGGCCTGGAAACCAGCCTGGAAATATTACAACCAGCCTGGAAATATTACATGCACGAGAAATAGAAGACAAAGCTTCACCCTGTAATTTTGGCGGGAGGCTTGTCACCCTGTCATTTTAGAAGGAATGGGGCTAAAGCTCTAAGCAAATGAATAATCATCAAATTTTAAATCTAGAATTTCCTATAAAAAATTTTTTACTTAAAGGCAGATTTCGTTCAAATTTTATATTTCGCCATTCGAAACAATATATATTTTAAAACTATATAAAAGTTTGTATACCTTACAATTCAAAAACTTTGGATGATTAAACAAAATTATAAACAATAATATATTATTAAAAATTATTTTTTTCACGGAGTTATCTTCGGATAAACAAATTTCACATTTGTAAGCAAAAATATTTTTAAATTCGTTAACATAACCACAAATTCTCAAGATATGGCGAAATGCATAAAAAGTGAACTATACCTTGGCAGAGATGCCAACTTGCTCCGGACCGCAAATATATATTTTAAAGTGGTAGTTTATCAATTGTGATTCTTGATTTAATAAATTCAATTTAGTACATTTTTATCCACCACTATTTCTAAATAATTTGTAGGCTTATATAATTCACCACTTTGTAGTATTTTCGTCGTGCTATACCTTTTAAAAAGCAAGCAAAAACAGTCAAATATTTGCAAAATTTATTTGTAGTTACTTACCGTTTTTTTAATTATATTGGCGTTTCCGGAGCAGTTGGCATCTCTGCCTTGGGGGTCTAAATTTTCAATGGTTTTTCTATCCAGACTATTGGGATCCTGATTGCGGCTACCCCTATATTTTGAGATTCAAAAATCCAAATTTGTCAACAAAAATAAGTAAATGAAAGAAGAAGAAAAATATGGTCATTTTGTCTTGGGTCTGATTTCGTAACTTAAAATATTGCCTACTCTATTTAACAGAAATATTTTATATTAAGATCTCGAACCCTTAAATGACTCCTAAAAAGTGAAGACCCAGTCATTAGATCAAAAGTTGTTCAGAGTTCTTTTTTTTTTCCACGCTGTACGCATAACAAAAATTTATTCCAGTCAAGACAACTGTGTATAAACTAAAACCAACCGCAAATTAATGTTGTCTACGTCAAACTGTTACGACTATAACCTGCATGATCTTTATCTTGATGTTTTATTTTTAAAATGCAGAAAGTTTGGTAAAATTAGAAAGTAAATCTACATAAAAAAAAAATTTCTTCTTACAGCATTTAGAGAAAAAGTTTACAGATTTCCAAGCTCATGGAACTGGTATAGGATTTTACGAAAAAATTTTAAACGATCTAGATTTTGAAATAATTAGTTGCGTTGAGGATTTTAGAGTCATTGCATTTGCCACAGAAGAAGAATTTAGAGGTAAAATACACAGTTTTCAAGTTTTTAATTTACTAAAAACTAATCTTTAATAGAAAAACTTAACGGTCTGAAACAGCTATAGATGTCGATGCATTCTTATTGACCGGAAAATTACATGGTAACTTAAGGGAATTATACTCTATTGATATGCAATTGAAGTTGAGATGTGGATTTACGCAATTTAGTTTACACCAGCAGGTGTCTGGGTGGCGCAGTTTGTTGTTGTCGGCCTTCTGAGCCCAAGTCTGCGGGTTCGATCAACACCTCCTAGATAAGAGCAGGCCTCAGCACGGGTTACCATAAATATTCTTTAGTAATCCGAACGTAATGACATATTTCGTATTTTCAACCACTGCGCAGCTTAGTACCCCGGACGTAATGATATCTTTCTTATTTTTCATCTACTGCGCAGTTAACTTCGTCACATCGGACTACTAAATTGATCCGTGCTGAGGCCTTCCTTATTCTAGGAGGTGTTGGTTCGATCCCCGGCTCAGACACCGGATTTTCGAGATGCAGAAAATCCTCAGCGGCCATGTCGTATGCTTATGCGGCATGTAAATGATCCATGGAATGCCTTATTGGCTCTTGGCATTACCGGCAAAATTAAATTCCTAGAGCACTTTAGCATCCAAATAGTCTCGGTGCTGCCATCTAGTGTGCCAGAAACTAGACGTCCAAATTAACATGGCCAACGGAATCTCACCCATTGTGGTGGTCCTGAAAGAGTGGATACCACTTCTGGAGAATGCACTAGGTCTGCTCATCGGAAGACTGATTGTGCAGCTTATAGGAAATAAAAAAAATAAGAAAAGTTTACACCAGTAGAAATTCTTCTACTTGAATCTTCAACCGGAAGTTAAAACAACCTCCACAAATACTGCCCCCTACCGTGGCGAAAAATAAACACGGTCGGGAATGAGGGGAATAAACGATCAGCTGGAACTGACGTAATAGGTCACGTGAGTGGGTATTGTGATCTTCTTGAAGCCCAAATCTGTCATTTACTTGCACTTTAATATTTTTGGAAAAAAATGTCAGTTCTTGAAACATCATATTTTATTTTAGTTTTACCTCTGCACTATATATTTTAAACAGCTTTTGAAGGCAGAAGAGAATTTGCCATGGAGGACTTCTCCTTCGATATGGCGTCCTCTTAAGGGAGGTCCTGTCTACTTAAATAACATTTCAGATTATCTTAGTAATTGGGGAAGGGGAGAAATCAACAATGTCAGCCTTCATCTATGAAAAGGTACCCCGACATCGAGTTACCATACCTTACATACTTGTGAATTGGAATTGCATTTTTGTAGAGGCAGACGCACAACAGTACAGCCCCACTAGAATTATATCTGTGATAGAATTCGATGAACGTGTACCACAAGTTGATTCATTGCTGTTTTGGGAGAAGCCGGGAGAGCTGTATTCAGATCACGGTCGTGGTCGTTCCTGTGTTACCATTAGCTGCCAAATGTATGCAAGCAGATGTTGTGTGTGATCGAGACTGAGTAGCAACAACGCGAGGAGGTGGATAATGTCGCAGTCACAAGTAGCAAATCTACTTACTGTTAATGGGGACCATCCATCGAAGTAGGCGTGTTCAAATCAAAGTGGGAGTTTCTGTCAAGGTAGGCGTGTTCACACGTCCGAAGGTCACCAATGTGGTAAGAGGAGTTATCGACAATGTCTACCTTCATCTATGCATTTTTGTAGTGGTAGACACCAAGGGCGCCGGCAGCGGGGTGCAAGAGGGTGCACTTTTTTTTAAACAATTAAAGAGATACAGAAAAACAATTTTGTTATAAAAAATTTTATTACATATTTTTAATCAAAAACAAATAATTAAGTAATTATTGATACATAATAATTAAAAAATTGTCTAATCAAACAAGTATTGTAATTGTCTTGTTTGCTGTCCAAATCTGTTTATAACTTTTTCAATGAATTCTGAGTCATCTTTGATTTTATGCACACTGAGCATGCATAAACTTGGCAGGTATCTAAGCTATATTTTTAAATTTCATTAAATAAAATATAAGTAATATATTTTCTACTAGTTATTTAGTTTAACAAAGGTGTATAACACAAACTGACTTCTCACAACTGTAAAACTTCATCAACACAATAAACACCAATGTTAAGCTTGCACAAACACGTTAGTATACGAAACTACTGTTTGTAGTTTATTTGTGTTTCAAAATCTGTATTGACTGAACTGTATTGATGGCACTATTCCAGCGCCATCAATACAGTTTTTCGTGTGCAAAATTTGCAAGTACAAGAAATTTGTACTTTTTTTTAAATATCTTGTTAGCAATGAAGAAATGTATCTTGATAAAAGTTAACAGATGAAATTATATGCAATAACAAAACAAAATGTAATAACAGAATATTTTATTTAATTCTAGCGTCTGCTCTAACGAAAGACAGAGTGATTGCTGCACACTTGCCCATCAACGTACTAAAGGAGTTCGAAGAAGAATATATTCAAGCTCTGATGGAAATAAATGGCCGATCATCTATAGGAGAATATTACCTCCACACGAGCACAGCTAAAATTCTTATTCGAAAAAAGAATCTTAACATAAAATCTAATATAAAAGTTGACACAATGTCAACCTGAATTTTATTCCTATTTTTTAAGAGACGTTTTCGTATCTGAATCTGGAAATATTTCGTTCTTAAATAAAATAACTTTTGTGTTTTAGTTATTTGTTCTTTTTGCTCTGGATTGCACACGAAATACAATAATTGAAAAGTAATTTATATGAAGCATACTAATGCAATGCTTTTCCCGATCGTTAAGACACGGTTCCCAGCNCATAACCATAAACATAGCCCATTGTGCAGCTCTAGTGCGACGTAAATGAACAAAAACAACTAATGCAATGCTCGTTAAAGCCAAAAATTAATAATTTCTTGGAGTTATATTTCGTGAATCAAGCATTTGGACAAACTAGCCTTCGTGGAGGAATTTCTGATTGAACTAACTCATATTAGCAATACATAGAGGAAAACCTCTCATGTTTAACCTGACTGCAAGGAGATTCAAACCCATGATCCGTCTACCTCTGAGGATATTTACGTCAGCGCTGTGGTTGGTGAGGGCTGGGAACAGAATTCGTATCAACCAGTCACCACTGGGATTCAAACCTTGTTCCCCTTTGGGATTCGAGACAAGGTCGCTTCATTGGGAGCGACCAGATCCAAACCCTGAGTCGCCGTAGTTCATATCCATTAAATTAAACTTTTCGAGAGGATTCATAACCTGCTGAGTGACTTCTCCCTTTTATAGTCCATACTTCGTAGGCTAATTTTATTTTATAACCATCGTTGAACAGCCAATTAAATTTTTTCAGTTTACGACTACCAATTTTCGAGTCCGTAGCCTTGTTATTTGGAACCCAATCTAGAAGACAAGGGAACTCCTGATTCAAGTATTGGAAGAAATACGCTTTCGAGGAGGACTTTCTGATGGAACTAACCCGCATATGCGTTGCATGGATAATTTCTACGAAAACCTTCCACGTTAGTCTGACGGCAAGAGAACTATAAACCATGGTCCGTCAACCACTGAGGATATTTTACGTCAGCACTGTGGTCGGTGAGAGCCGGGTGTGGAATTTGAATCAACCAGTCATTGCCGGGATTCGAACCCAGTTCACCTCATTGAGAGGTGAGCGCTCTATCCCCTGAGGTACCACGGCTCGTCGTAGACTAATTGGAAAATTAGGCCTTTTGAAAACTGCTTACGTATCTCGCAATACACCTACAAGAGCCAGGCGATAGAACGTTCGCCTTCCAATGAGGTAAAGGGGGTTCAAAACACAGCGATGGCTGGTCGATACGAACTCCGCATCCAGTGCACCTAGACCACAATGCTGACGTAAAATATCCTCAGTGGTAGACGGAGCCCGGGCTAGCGGTTCTTGACATCAGGCTAACCATGGGATGTTTTCGTGGTTTTCCATCAAAAAAGTCCTCCATGAAGGCAAATTTCTCCAAATACTTGATCCAAGAGTTCCCTTGTCTTCTGGATTGGATTCAATATTATAAGACTACGGAGTTGAACATTAGTAGTTGTAAACCCGAAAAATTTGGGTCGGCTGTTCAGAGACAATTTAAAATAAAATAAAATGCACCTACAAGGCTCACTGCAATAAACGTAACAAATGATGTCAGCCGTTTCCAAAGAAATGATTCTCCAATTAGCTTACGACATAAATACCGGGAAATTGTACTTTACACTTAAAGAAACATCAGTGTAAGGAATACCGGGCAATTGCACTTCACTTGAAAAAACCCTTAATGAAGGAAATATGATTGCATTTCCAACCTTTTTAATTCTGCAAAAAAGAGGCAACAATTCTGTCCCTATAGGGAAGCAGCTTGGAATTGAAGAACTAGCTGTGAGCTTTTGTTGTCCTGTATTCTTGCTTCCTGGTTCACATGTATGGGGATTTTGAAAATTTCAACTGATCTGTTATATTCTTTTGATCCATTTTTATAAAGGTACATATTTAGATAGTACTTTTCAGTTTTATTTCTATAGTTAAAATGCATCAAGGTTTTCGCAACATCCTGCAAAAATTCTTAACATTTTTACAGCTGCAGTAAAATGCACGTAATTAAGTATAAAACATCAGAAAATTGTCATAAATTATTTATTAAACATGAAACATCAAAGAATACATTAGTTTTCGAACAGTGCATAAAAGCTTAATGTAAACCTATTAAAAATATTAAAACTGAGTTGTAATACACATAAAAAAATAACACAAGTAGAACACATTTAGAACAAACGAAATTATCTTAACAGCGGGTAGAAATTATCTTATAATTCTGCAAACAAAATTTTTGAGTTTTTTTAATTGATGTATTAAAACTATGAATGTTTTTGATTAAAATATATGGTAAATTGTAACTTATCAGACAGCTTGGTTTATTTTATCACTTCGCTCACAATCATTGAAAATCACGCCCTTAAATAGTCACAATTGTTTGTTTTTTTTTAAATACAAGAAATAAGCATTCTAAAAGTTTTAAATACAAACTATTTTTTTTAAAAATGAAATATTAAAAATACATTTTATTTTACAACTGATACTTTTTTTCTCGTGAATATATTATTCCATATACACTTAAGTATATTCCAATTAGCTACGTGTCATTCATTGTATAGAATCTCTATGTTTCATAATTACGGGCGATGCTTTAGAAGTTACAAGGTTGTAATTTCATTAAAAATGCGAGGTTTTTCTTTTATCCTTATTGGTCACAATTTTTTCACCTCCCCAAGAATCAATACCATATAACCATACCATATTTCAGAACCTATGTCCTACATGTACCATATTGCAAAATTAAAGATGTAGTCCAGTTAGTTTCTCTCCCTCTAAGTCACTAATTTTGCAAAATCCTATAAGTTATAAACGTCTATTAGCAATTCGAAACGATCACAAATTATGAAACAAGATTGCTATATAAAATATCAGATTTAAATAGGATTGCTTGATTGATTGCTGATTGTCTAGATTGATTGTTACAAAATTATAGATGTAGTCTAGCTAGTTTCCCTCTAAGTCACTAATTTTGCAAAATCCTATAAGTTATAAACGTCTATTAGCAATTCGAAACGATCACAAATTATGAAACAAGATTGCTATATAAAATATCAGATTTAAATAGGATTGCTTGATTGATTGCTGATTGTCTAGATTGATTGTTACAAAATTATAGATGTAGTCTAGCTAGTTTCCCTCTAAGTCACTAATTTTGCAAAATCCTATAAGTTATAAACGTCTATTAGCAATTCGAAACGATCACAAATTATGAAACAAGATTGCTATATAAAATATCAGATTTAAATAGGATTGCTTGATTGATTGCTGATTGTCTAGATTGATTGTTACAAAATTATAGATGTAGTCTAGCTAGTTTCCCTCTAAGTCACTAATTTTGCAAAATCCTATAAGTTATAAACGTCTATTAGCAATTCGAAACGATCACAAATTATGAAACAAGATTGCTATATAAAATATCAGATTTAAATAGGATTGCTTGATTGATTGCTGATTGTCTAGATTGATTGTTACAAAATTATAGATGTAGTCTAGCTAGTTTCCCTCTAAGTCACTAATTTTGCAAAATCCTATAAGTTATAAACGTCTATTAGCAATTCGAAACGATCACAAATTATGAAACAAGATTGCTATATAAAATATCAGATTTAAATAGGATTGCTTGATTGATTGCTGATTGTCTAGATTGATTGTTACAAAATTATAGATGTAGTCTAGCTAGTTTCCCTCTAAGTCACTAATTTTGCAAAATCCTATAAGTTATAAACGTCTATTAGCAATTCGAAACGATCACAAATTATGAAACAAGATTGCTATATAAAATATCAGATTTAAATAGGATTGCTTGATTGATTGCTGATTGTCTAGATTGATTGTTACAAAATTATAGATGTAGTCTAGCTAGTTTCCCTCTAAGACACTAATTTTGCAAAATCCTATAAGTTATAAACGTCTATTAGCAATTCGAAACGATCACAAATTATGAAACAAGATTGCTATATAAAATATCAGATTTAAATAGGATTGCTTGATTGATTGCTGATTGTCTAGATTGATTGTTACAAAATTATAGATGTAGTCTAGCTAGTTTCCCTCTAAGTCACTAATTTTGCAAAATCCTATAAGTTATAAACGTCTATTAGCAATTCGAAACGATCACAAATTATGAAACAAGATTGCTATATAAAATATCAGATTTAAATAGGATTGCTTGATTGATTGCTGATTGTCTAGATTGATTGTTACAAAATTATAGATGTAGTCTAGCTAGTTTCCCTCTAAGTCACTAATTTTGCAAAATCCTATAAGTTATAAACGTCTATTAGCAATTCGAAACGATCACAAATTATGAAACAAGATTGCTATATAAAATATCAGATTTAAATAGGATTGCTTGATTGATTGCTGATTGTCTAGATTGATTGTTACAAAATTATAGATGTAGTCTAGCTAGTTTCCCTCTAAGTCACTAATTTTGCNCTGATCCAAGTGGTCACCCACCCGCACACTGACCGCAGCCAGTGATGCTTGACTTCGGTGATCTGCTGGGAACCGTGTCTTAACGATCAGTCCACTGCGGGCAAAAATATTTGTATAAATATTTTTAAAGATGTTTAGAATGATGCAAATTCTACTACAGGAGATTAGCTACTTCTTAAAAAATCTTAAATAAGAATCCCCATTTTCATTGCAAGTTTGGAACCTACTGAAAATAGTACCTCAATATGAAGTACAGGTTTTTTGCATTTCGGTTTAGGTGGGTTTGATATTTCTTAATTCCTATCTTGGGACACCAATATGACCTCAATATGAAGTACAGGTTTTTTGCATTTCGGTTTTGGTGGGTTTGATATTTCTTAATTCCTATCTAGGAACACCGAACTCTAAAAATACATGAATGAAATATTTTCGAAAGATGTATTAAGTGAGAAATAATAGACGGAAAAATCCTCTTCTTTACAGACCGCGACCCCTTTTGAACCTATCAAAAACGCTTCTGCCTGGCAACTGACAACACTTGTGCCTGAGGAGGAGTAGGAACAGTGTGGCATTATGCAATAGAATGTCCGCTTACCACATCCTACCACTTTAAACAACCAAAGCTAGAATTCCTCATAGTCCATCTATAAGAATCCAAAATTGGAACAGAAGGCAACCAACCTGATTAATTTTCTAGAAGAATGCGAGGAAATCCTGAAATAATTTTCATGAAAAACTGACAAAATTATGCAATGTTGAGCACCAACCACTACTAAACTTGACCGATTAGCTCTGGATACTTTTTAATCAAATGCCCTAACTAATAGAATAACCGTTTCTTTTTTTCATTTTTCAATTTTTGTATTTTTTTTTTTAAATTTTATATTTCTTTTTATTTTCGTCTATTTTTTGCTTCGATTTATTGGTTTTTTTTTCTTCTTTTTTTTTCTATCTGTCTTGTCTTCCAACCTTAACCATTAACCGATAAATTCCCTTTTAAGGACATAGGAGAAGGGTTAAATGTTGGTGTGTGTCTGAAGAGAAACTGGTATGTTGTTGTTGACGTATGCGCCAGTGTGTTGTTGTTGACGTATCCAGTGGCGCCATCTATGGACAAGAAATCGACTTCTGCTACATAATACGTCACACCCGCTTATAGAGCGGACCCATTCATACAACCATTCATTCATCCACAGATCGCAATTTTGACCTGAGTCAGAGAACGATCGATCTCCAATCCAGTACCCCCAGAGTTATTGATTTGTTATGGGAACATGGAGAACTTTAGCAACTCGGCATATTTAACGTGCATCAGTCACTTTACTACACGGAGAGTCTTCGGCCGACGGGGTTCGAACCTACGAACTCTCAGACATGGGCCCAGCGCCCTACCGACCAGGCTATCCGGAAACTGGTATGATTTTGCGATATATAAACAGATATTCTTTTTACCCATTTCGGTATTTAAAACAGAAGGCGCCACTGCGGTACAAAGCCTGCTATGGACGAATAACTTGAATATTTTAAAATTTATTTAACTTTTTTTAAAAATTGCCAATCCAGTGGCATTTTTCTAACTACATGAAAATTATCAAAATCACTGCCTCATTCTCAGTTCTTGCAAATTTTTATGAGTTCAGATAATGCAGCATTGGAGCAAGTTTTTAAATATTAAAAAATAGGGCTATAACCGATTATCATTTTCACAAAAACATGGCTTTTCTCTATATTGACATTTTGCACCATTTTCAGAATAAGCATAGCTGAGATTCAGAATAGGGAGCTGGCTTCATATGAGCTAAACTTGACCTAACAGTCATGAGTAACTCTTACAAACTCACAGGAGTATTGAAAATAGCATATTTCATATGAGCTAATCTTGCCCTAACAGTCATGAATGAGTAACTCTTACAAACTAACAGGAGTATTGAAAATAACATATTAATCGCAAAAAAGCACAATTTCATAAGAAGACGGAGTTTCGAAAAACAGCTTGCGAGATTTCGTTCGAAACCCGTAGAGTTTGAGAGGGAGGCTTAAGAATTACACAAAGCCAAGTTTGAGAAAACACGAGTTCTTCAATTATTTGTAAATAATAAAAATAATTTTTAGAACAAATTTGAAACAAATGTCATACTCACATTTTTCGTAAAAGTCCAGCAGGCTTTCGAATTCGAATATTCGATAATATTCCTCACACTCAACAACTGAAAAGCCGATGTCTTTGACAAGTTCTTTATATTCATTCCTACTTAGTCGTATAGGAAATTTCGGAAACACAGATTCTTGATTCTAAAAAATTCATCAATAAATATTGCATTAGTACTTTTCGCAGCACTTTTCAAAAAAAAAAAATAAAGAAATATGATTCCCTACTAGCAATTTTCATTGTTTATAGCAGTCCATTTTAGTTTTCATTTTAACTAAAACCATAATTTGGCTTATTTCACTCATTTTCAGTTTATATACACCAAAAACAAATTCATAAGAAGACAAGACTCAGCTCAAAGACTGTGAATTCAATTCTCGGGTATAAAACACTATTTAAAATTATTAATGATAAAACAATAATAAAATGCCATTCTCCTTATTAAATATTTTAAAAATAGAGCAGTATTTTATAGGTTAATAAGCTCACTATCGTCTTCATATAATTTAGTTATAAAGTCGGGGTTCCGTGGAAAGATTGTTGAACATTTAGGGTTTTATAGCCGAGAACAATTGGGTACCACTGTTTAACCACATCAGTATATCTCTTGCAAGAAGCGGAGCAGTTAGCATTCCTATGCTTATGGGAATTTGCCTTTATATATTTTAGTGATAAAGTTGGGGTTCCGTCGAAAGAAAGTTAAGCATTTAGGGTTCCATTCCATAGCCGAAAACAATTGGGTACCACTGCTCTACCGCATCAGAATGTCTCTTGTTGGAAAGCAGAGCAGTTAGCCTTCCTATGCTTATGGGAATTTGTCTTTATATATTTTAGTGATAAAGTTGAGGTTCCGTCGAAAGAATGTTAAGCATTTAGGGTTCCATTCCTTAGCCGAAAGCAATTGGGTACCACTGTTCTCCCGCATCAGAATGTCTCTTGTAGGAAGCAGAGCAGTTAGCCTTCCTATGCTTATGGGAATTTGTCTTTATATATTTTAGTGATAAAGTTGAGGTTCCGTCGAAAGAATGTTAAGCATTTAGGGTTCCATTCCTTAGCCGAAAGCAATTGGGTACCACTGTTCTACCGCATCAGAATGTCTCTTGTAGGAAGCAGAGCAGTTAGCCTTCCTATGCTTATGGGAATTTGTCTTTATATATTTTAGTGATAAAGTTGAGGTTCCGTCGAAAGAATGTTAAGCATTTAGGGTTCCATTCCTTAGCCGAAAGCAATTGGGTACCACTGTTCTACCGCATCAGAATGTCTCTTGTAGGAAGCAGAGCAGTTAGCCTTCCTATGCTTATGGGAATTTGTCTTTATATATTTTAGTGATAAAGTTGAGGTTCCGTCGAAAGAATGTTAAGCATTTAGGGTTCCATTCCTTAGCCGAAAGCAATTGGGTACCACTGTTCTACCGCATCAGAATGTCTCTTGTAGGAAGCAGAGCAGTTAGCCTTCCTATGCTTATGGGAATTTGTCTTTATATATTTTAGTGATAAAGTTGAGGTTCCGTCGAAAGAATGTTAAGCATTTAGGGTTCCATTCCTTAGCCGAAAGCAATTGGGTACCACTGTTCTACCGCATCAGAATGTCTCTTGTAGGAAGCAGAGCAGTTAGCCTTCCTATGCTTATGGGAATTTGTCTTTATATATTTTAGTGATAAAGTTGAGGTTCCGTCGAAAGAATGTTAAGCATTTAGGGTTCCATTCCTTAGCCGAAAGCAATTGGGTACCACTGTTCTACCGCATCAGAATGTCTCTTGTAGGAAGCAGAGCAGTTAGCCTTCCTATGCTTATGGGAATTTGTCTTTATATATTTTAGTGATAAAGTTGAGGTTCCGTCGAAAGAATGTTAAGCATTTAGGGTTCCATTCCTTAGCCGAAAGCAATTGGGTACCACTGTTCTACCGCATCAGAATGTCTCTTGTAGGAAGCAGAGCAGTTAGCCTTCCTATGCTTATGGGAATTTGTCTTTATATATTTTAGTGATAAAGTT